ATCTGAAAACAAGCTGCTGCCGTTTGAATCACAATGACTGGGATTACAGGGATGATTTGTTGAAGGCAGCGGCGTAACCTGAGTGGGAGTGTGGAGTGTTCCCACCTCCCACTCAGACACTTCCTGATGGATGACTCATCCTCTGGGTGGTTGAAGGACCTCCTCACGTGTTCTCATCATGGCTCCAGCATGCATGTCCTTTAATCCTCTTCTGTGGTTTTCTCTGGGTTCAGGACAACCACAAGCTGAGCTTCATCCAGCAGCTCCGACCCACTCCGACCATCCAGCCCCGGATCAAACTGAAGCTGTTCGGACACTCGGGAGCCGGGAAGAGCACGCTGCTGGAGTCTCTGAAATGTGGCATCCTGCGCAGCTTCTTCAGGAGGAGGAGGTCACGTATGACCAACGCAACCCGCCACCCCAACTCCCCCGTCAACTCCAAACCGGCCGGTAGGAACGAGGGGGGCGGGAAGTCCGTCGGATTCAGGAAGTGAATCTGGCAAATGAACAAAAACTTCATTTATTGTTGAATCATCACTCAGATTATTAGTAGATAACTTTGTTTTGAGTTTAAGCAAGAGCGTTAAATAGGATCCTTGTGGCTGCGCGATACGACGATAATCTCACACCCCGGTGCCGCCATTCACCACAAAACCACGGTTCCTGTGAATTCTAACTCCCAAATCCCCTCACAGACTTTTTCATTTGAATTATGTCGTTAAAAGTGAACGTTTTAAGTCAGATGTGAGTGTTTGTTTCTTTATTTTGGGTCAGCTTCAGTTCGAGTGACCCCGGCTTTCCACGGGAGCCGTCAGCAGCACGTTACTGCAGCAGCACGTCATAGCTGCTGATAGGAACCGCTGTGGTCAACAGAACCTTTTCCACTGGAGCCGTCGGCAGCCGGCAGCAGCGCGAGTCGGCCGCGTCTCAGGAGCAGCATGTCGCGGCCTTTACGCGCCGGTTCTATTTCCTACGCGCGACGCCTCTGAAACGGGTCAAGTTCGACATTTTTGGGGAAGGAAAGACAGGAAATCAGACGCGGAAATGGAGAGAAGCTCCCGAGATTTTCAGAATAAAGAACGTACTGCCTTCCGGTCGCTTTACTTTAAAAAAGGTTACTAGCTGTGCGGCCCCGTGAGAAGTTATCACCTAGCTAGCGGTCTCTTTTGTTTTTCAGGTCCGTATTGGCGATTATAAAACGGACAGAACATAAAAACACAAATATTTTGGAGCCATGTTGTAGTTTTCTCCTGCTTGTTGTTGTGTTTACTGACGAAGTCACACTGTCGGTGACAGCTGCTCCCCTGCTGCTTCGCGTCTCTTGGGAAGGGCCAAGCAGCAGCTTACGCGAGCAAGACGTGCTGCTGCAGTAACGTGCTGCTGACGGCTCCCGTGGAAACCCGGGGTAAGAATGAAGAAATAAAAGTGGCCCTCGCCACCAGGGGGCAGCAGCACTGGCTATGGCAGGTTTCTGATGGAGGTGCTGATCCTGATGCTCCGCCTGGGTGATCTAGGGTCAGGAGTACGAGGGGTTAATAAACTCACATCTGTCTTCTGCAGATGTTTCTACATCTGGAGGAAGTTAGCTAGCGTGAGGCTAACGCTAGCTCGCCTCCTCTCCTCTCCGTGTTCAGGTTCTAGATTCTCTGCTGTAAACGTTTAAACGGTAAATGGGCTGCATTAGTACAGCACCATCTTAGGGTTCTACAGCCCCCCAAGGCGCTTCACAACACAATCATTCATTCACCCATTCACAACCTGGTGGTGATGAGCTGCGATGAAGCCACAGCTGCCCTGGGGCGCACTGACAGAGGCGCCCCGACCACCACCACCAGCAGGCAAGGCGGGTTAAGTGTCTTGCTCAAGGGCACAACGGCAGCATTCTCTTCTGATTTAGAGGTAGAATTGACTTTACCTGCAGCACACCTCTCCTCCTCAGCCCACCCTACCTAACCCACCCCGGTGACATCGCTCCTACCTACTGAAGTCATGAAAATCATCCAGATGGTAACCAAGACCCGGTTTTTAGATTCCAGCCCGTTGCTCCTCGGTGTGTTTGGGCTTCCTGTTCCTGCTGGGGTTCCGTGTGTCTGCACCCGTATGACGGGAAAGTTCCCTAAACGCTCCGAAGTTTTATTCCATCGTCTGATTTAAAACACTTAGGAAGTTAAATTCATGTTTCTGCTGTTTTTGTCAGATTTAAACTTCTGCTTTTGATTGAAATGCTCCTGAGAAAGGCTCCAAACACACACACACACACACACACACACCCTGGTGAAACGAGTGCAGAACCAGAAGGTGTCTGCTGTTGCTTAGTGGAGGTCGGTTCTGTTTGTTCTGTGAAGCAGAACCCTCCCCTCCTCCCTCCCCTATGTGTTCTGATCCATTAACCTCCCAGACGGGCGTGATGGTCCATCAGATAACGGGTCAGGTTACGGTCCGTTCCATCTTCTGTCGGACCTGAAGCTGACACAGAGCTGTTTTGAGTCGAAGTCGGATCTGCGGCCGAACCTGACCTGTTTGTTAGTTTAATGTCGATTTTCCCAGTTTTCATTTGTTGGATGGTTCTGGTTCTGATGAGTCCAAGACTCATCAGAACCAGAACCTCTCCAGCTGTGATGTAACAGTTAGTGTCTTGGCCAAAGTTTGCTGCTTGTTTTCCTCAAGTTCTTTTGTATCTCAAACACACACACACACACACACACACACACACACACACACACACACACACACACACACACACACACACACAGAGTTTTTTAACATGTTTTTGTTTTTTGTCTTCGTCTCACATAGAAACAAGAAAATTTGAACCAAAACAAATAAAAGTGCAGCAGCTTGTGTCAAGGCGTGGTTCTGCAGGAGCCAAGAGGGATTTATTTATGGTACAATGGCTCCCCCTGGTGGTGGACGCTAAAACTGCTCCTGTGAAAACCCTCAGATAAAATTCACTAAAATACTAAAATTAAAACCCAACAAAAAATTAAATCAAGACAAAAATGACAAATTAAACAAAAGTTTATTTTAAAAGGAATTTTAGTAAAATCAGGTTTAGATCAGAAAATCTTCTGATTATTTTTTAAAGGAGTTAGGGTTAGGGTTCAAGTCCGGGAGCATCAGACTGGTTCTCCTCCAGGTCTAGATCTGGTCTCCGGTCCTGCTGCTAGGTTCTTGTCTGAGGACTCGGCTCTCATGTGGGATCTGCTGTCGGCTGCAGAGTTCTGGACCAGCTGGAGAACATTGAGGGTTTTTGTTATGAGGTGGCTAAAGTGAGTTAAAAAGTTTAAATGAGGAGAATAACAGCATGAAGAAAACGTCTGAAGTTCAGTTTTAGACCGATAAAAGCAGTTTGGACCCGGTGGTTCTGAGTGAGCTCCATCTATCAGAACCATCTCAGCTCAGATAAAATCGCTGACGTGCAGCTTTTTACTCTACTTAGTTATCTACTGATGGAACAGCCCCTCAGGTGCAGCAGGATGAAGTGATTATAGGAGACAGAAGTTAGCGAGGAACTTCTCCTCCGGAGGGATTGACGTCTGCATGTCTAACCAGTACGAGACGTCGGGTGTTTCTCGTTGCCAAGGCACCTGGCCTTGCGAGGACACGGCCCTTCCTTGGTCGAAGAAAACGGTTAAAATGGAACTGACTTGCATCACGTGACCGCGGCTTCCACGGCGGTCACGTAACGTCACGTGACACGGTCATATCGTTATATTTTATACGTATTAGTTTCAATATAAATATAACGAGCCTTTTACTTTTTACATTGTGTTTATGTTTATTAAATTAAAAATATAAGTGAGTTACTACCCGCTAGCCACTGAAGCTGCAACTACTAAGCTACTAACCAACCATAGATAACTTCTTTGGATCTAAAAAAAAAAACATTTTAAATTAGTTGACTTACTTTTAAACTTGAAAATTGTCCCCGAAGTAGCTGCCGGCTTCTGATCCGCCGTCCTTTTGAAAATACCGCGGTGTATTGTGGGTAATTTTTGACCAAGGCTAGGCTACAAGACACCTCCCGTGTGTCCTTGCTCAGCTAGCTAAACGGCTAGCGGAGAACACACGCCTCGGTAGAACATGAACATTGGAACACGTCTTGGTGGCTCCCGATAACGTATCTCCTAGGCAACCGGGGCGGGGCCAAGACATACAGGCAATGTTCCTTGGTTGTGAGAAACACCCATAAAATACGAGCAGCAGCATGTTTCCCATCTACATAAATATACTGGACAATTAATTTCCATAGACTCCAATATCACGTTTTTTGAGGACAAATGGGAGGTGGCCACCACCGCCATTTTGACCGTGTCACATGTTCCGTCAAGCGCAGACAATTCCACAAAAGGGAAGAGAGGTGGAGCTGAGGGTGTGGCTGTAAGGCTGGGATCAACTGACGACACCCGGTCGAACTAGCTGTAAGCTAACCTGAAGCTAACCCAAAGCTAACGCGGAGGTGGGAGCTAAGCTAACGGAGGTAGCAACCTAGCTACAACCGGAGTTAACTGTGCACAACACCAGAGCTTCTGAGTCAGAGATACGCCGGGCTAACCGCTGGGTAAAACCGGGTGGAACACAGAGGTCTCAGAGAGCTCCACAAGCCGATAGTGGGAACCCAGCTCCACCAACATGTTATATTTCAACCCATTTTCTAAAGTGCAGCATTATGTTAAATGCACTGGGTTTTACCCTATTACATTTAAATTTCATGGTTAAACAGTACATGTTAAAATCTAAGCTCAGCTCGGCAGTGACCTAAAATACATAAATATAATTTTACTTACCGAAAAAAATGAAGTGGAGACTCCTTGGACGCTCTATTAGTGCAATTAATGCCACAGCAAGTCATTTTGTCCAACAATTGCACAAAAATATCCAAAAAAGAATACACAAACACAGAGACTCAAAATCCCAGAACAGTTTCCAGGCCAGACCGAGGCTCTACTGAGGCCTTTCCACGGAGCTAGCTCTGTGGTCACGTGGGTCTGATGCTCATTAATTATACAGAATTTTAGGCTTTTAATACACTAAAACAGAAGAGTGAGAAAAAAATTCACCCCCCTCAGAGTTGTCATGAGTGTAAACTAGATCATTTAAACCTAAAACATGTTTTGGTACCAGGCTGTAAACATGTTTATTTCTGCTGTGAAATTGGTATTTTTAACATGGGAGTCAATGAGGATTTGCTCGCTTCTGACACCAGCCCCTAGTGGATGAGGGCGGAACTGCAATTTATTTCATTTCCGCGTTTGACTCAATTTTAGAGCTGCATTGTGGGGGCTTGATGTTTCCACACGGTCTCACAGTCATCCCTGGAAGAGGTTGTGAACTACATAACCCGGCCTCCTTTTGGTGAAGGCAGCAGTCCTGCAGGAACTGTTTCCCCCGAAAGCATCCAGCTCCGAGGAGACGATGGCCGTCTCCCGTTTCTAACAGCGCAGCTGGAAAAACCTGAGCGGGTTTCCCTCTGAAGGCAGCAGAACGCTTCTGCAGACTCTGAATCAGACAGAGGAGCAAAGCTCTAACTTACGGGTGCAGACGACGAGTTGTTTGGTGGATCTGGGCCTCCGCCATTCCTCGCCTCGGGCAGCTGTGGCGACAATGGCATCACCGAGGTGCGAAGGTGTGAGTGGATGAATGACGCGCTGTAGTGTAGTGTTGGGGTTAGTGAGTCATTCATCATCACCCAGAGTGCACCTGGCTCGTCGTGGTTTGTTTCGCGCAAACATGAGAACTTGTGGCCAGACTGAGTGGACTAACGTCTGCTGTGGTTTCTGTCTGAAGTCTCGGTCAGCATCTCCAACCTGTACCCGGGCTGTGAGAACGTCAGCGTCCGCAGTCGCAGCATGATGTTCGAGCCCAGCCTCACCAAAGGGGTCCTGGAGGTCTTCTCCCCGGTCCACAGCGCCCTGTCCGCCGCTGACGAGCAGACCACCAAGGCCGTCGATATCCAGCACGCCAGCATCCACGGTGAGTCTGCAGACCCGCCCAGACTCACTCCCATTTAAACGTGTCCTGACCCGGTTCTGGTTCCTCTCTCTGAAGGTGTGGGCGACTTCAGCGTCTGGGAGTTTTCAGGAAACCAGGTCTACCACTGCACCTACGACTATTTTGCAGCCAACGACGCGACAGCGATCCACCTGGTTCTGTTCAGCTTGGAGGAACCGTACGAGACCCAACTGGGCCACATCACGTACTGGCTGAACCTGCTGAAGGCCCTGACGCTGCCCCAGGACCACATCGGTGAGCCTCCGTCCTGCTGCGGGTCTACGGGCTGACTCTAAAATCCAAATCTGATTCAGTCTCTCTGTTCAGTTTTTGGAGGTCGGATCCAGCAGCCTCTTCCGGTGGTTCTGGTAGCGACCCACGCGGACCTCGCCAACATCCCCAGAACTTTCTCTGGAGAGTTCAGCTACGACAAGGAGCGGTCGCTGCTGAAGGAAGTCAGGACCAGGTCCGTGAGTTTTCTGTTCACCGTGTCTGCTTCCGGCCGACGCATCAGTGTGTTTGTTCTGCAGCTGCAGGTAGACGTTCTAGATCCAGAGCGGTGGCGTAAAGCGGTAAACAGAAGCCCGCTGGTGCTGCAGGTTCTGCTCCGGTCAGCGACTCGACCCAGAGCTGCCGCTGACTCCGAGGGTAAAGCTCCTCCCAACATTCAGATTCTGATCAGAAACGTTTTTGATCCCAGGTTTGGGAACGACCTCCAGGTCAGCGACAAACTGTTTGTGATGGACACCGGCGCCTCCAGCTCCAGAGACGTGAAGCTGCTGAGGAGCCACCTGCAGGAGCTCCGCTCTGGCATCATCTCTGTGAGTTCTGCTGCTCTTCCTCACTAACCTGCCTCAGATTGTTTCACCCCAGATTGAATTATAGACATTCTTCTAACGGACGATGATGATGTCATCGTTCTCTGTGGTTTCAGAGCTGCGCTCCGATGACGCAGCTCTCGGAGCGCCTGCTGGCCGCCCTGCCAGCGTGGAGGAAGCTGAGCGGACCGAACCAGCTGACGTCGTGGCAGCAGTTCGTCAGCGACGTGCAGGAGCACATTAACCCGCTGGTCAGTCAGGACCACCTCCGCACTCTGGCCCTCCAGCTCCACAGCATGGGGGAGGTGAGCTGTTCGGCTGTTCGGCGGACCTCCACCAGGGGGCGCTACTGCTTCAGGAGAAACCAGCAGATCCTTTCTAATCCGTGCCCCTCCTGTCTCCCCCACCCCAGATCAACATAATGCAGAGTGAGACCGTCCAGGACGTTGTCCTGCTGGAGCCCCGTTGGCTCTGCTCCACCATCCTGGGGAAGCTGCTGTCGGTGGAGACCCCTAAAGCCATCCACCACTACAGGGGGCGCTACAGGGTGGAGGAGATCCAGGCTCTGGCGCCAGAGAGCGACGTGGAGGAGCTGCTGCAGATCCTGGATGCCATGGACGTTTGCGCTCGTGACGCCACCAACCCTTCCATGGTGGACGTGCCCGCTCTCATCAAGACGAACGGCCTGCACCGCTCCTGGACGGAGGAAGAGGAGGAGGAGTCTCTGATCTACGGGGGGGTCCGACTCGTCCCCGCGGAGCACCTCACCGCCTTCCCCTGTGGCCTGTTCCACAAGCTGCAGGTGAACCTGTGTCGCTGGAGCCACCAGCAGAAGCCGGAGGAGGACGGTGGAGAGGACTCGGACGGAGACATCCACCTGTGGGCCAACGGAGCCAAAGTGAGCCAGGCGGAGGTGGAGGCCATGATCCTGCTGGTGAACCACGGGCAGGGCGTGGAGATTCAGGTACGTGGACACGAAACGGAGCGGGCCAAGTGCTACACCCTGCTGGACACCATCTGCAGCATCACGGAGAACCTGCTGTCCTCCACGTTGCCCGGACTGCTCACGGCGCGCTACTACCTGAGTCCTCAGCAGCTCCGCGAGCACCACGCCCCCATCATGATCTACCAACCCAAGGACTTCTTCAGAGCGCAGGTCCAGCGGGAGACCTCGCTCACCAACACCATGGGAGGCTACCGGGAGAGCTTTAGCAGCATCCTGGCCTTCGGCTGCGCCGAGGTCTACCAGCAAGGCGTTCTGGGTAGAGACGTCCACATATCAGACGTTCCCCTGTTGGCCCGCAGGAAGCTGAGCCGAATGCTGGACCCGCCCGACGCCATGGGGAAGGACTGGTGCCTGCTGGCCATGAACCTGGGCCTCACCGACCTGGTGGCCAAACACAGCAACGGGACCCCGGACTCCGAGTCCCAGAAGGCCGAGCTGCAGCCCAGCCCGACCGCGGCGCTGCTGCAGGAGTGGAGCAGGCAGCCCGGCAGCACCGTCGGCGTTCTGATGACGAAGCTGAGAGAGCTCGGCCGCCGAGACGCGGCGGACTTCCTGCTCAAGGCCTCCCCCGTCTTCCGGGTCAATATGGAGGCTGTGGGCGGGGCCTCTAGCAGTTACCCCCCCACCTGCAACGGCGGCACGTCGTACAACTCCATCAGCTCCGTCATCTCCCGCTGACGCTCCGCTCCACCATCAGAACCGGGTCTGTTTGGGTTCCGCTCTCCTGGACAGAACAGGAACCCTGAGTTTTTATTCTGCTGCTACTTAATGTTCCACCAGAACCAGAAGTTCAGGAGGAGCTAGAACCTCCACCTGAGCCTGAGGGTCAGAACCACGGCGGCCATGTTGTTTGGACCTCTCCGTGTGGGTTTCTGATCCTGCCGAGGTGCCTTTGGGCCGTCTGCCTCCCTAAAAGCACAAACAGAAGTTCCTTCAAACATCAGGAGAACCTCTTTGGCCTTTTTGACCCGACAGGAAAATCATTTTAAACTAAAACTCGGTTTTTCTCAGAACCAGAATCTCCCGTCAGTCGATGCAAAGATCAAATAAAAATAATTCACCTTGTTTACGGGTTCCAACGTTTTCTTCTAAATGAATTTTAATCTGAGCTGTAATGACTTCTGCTGCTGTGATCCGGTTCTGCGACGTGTTTTAGTCCCACTGAGAAGGAACGGAACCCGGTTCTGCTCCAGAACCCGACCCGACTGGTTCTGGGTTTACTATTATGCTAACCGATGGTTCTGGTCGTGTTTTCATGGAGTAAATATAAAAACAGAGAAGTGTTATTGAATGTGCGGTATGCACGATGGCGGTCCTTCACAATAAGAGTCTCAACTGCCTCTAATCATTTCAGGCTTCTAAAAAAGTTTTTCTTTTCTGGTAAAAATCTAAATATTTTTGTAGGACTTAAATGTTTTAGGGCTGAGACTCTTATTTTGAAAGATAAGACTTAAATGTTTTAGGGTTCGTGTGTTTGAGGCTCTTATTTTGAAAGACAAGACTTAAATGTTTTAGGGCTGAGACTCTTATTTTGAAAGACAAGACTTAAATGTTTTAGGGCTGAGACTCTTATTTTGAAAGATAAGACTTAAATGTTTTAGGGCTCGTGTGTTTGAGACTCTTATTTTGAAAGACAAGACTTAAATGTTTAAGACTTGTGTATTTGTTTGAGACTCTTATTTTGAAAGACTAAGGGAAGTTCTGCTGCGTTTACAGTAAAACCTTCACCTGATGTTTAATTAAAGGTCTGATTGTTCTACTCCAGCCGGGTTTAGCTCCTCTGGCTGGATTAGAGTTGGATTATAACGACGACGTCGATCCCGACTCTTCCTGCTTTTCCTTTTTTCTTCCCAGTGACGACAAATCCTCGTCGTAGGTTTCCGTGTCCATTTTAAATTCCACTATTGAATTTTACCTGAAGCTGCATCCAACTAACTTCAGAAATATTTAACCCAAAAGCAGTTTTCCAGTGAAAGGAAGCTGGACTGAGATCATCCCTGCAGAGATTAAAACTCACCTATTGGCTGATTTCTTAAGGGTCGTTTTCTACCGGTTTTAGTTTTAACTGGAAACTTTCAGCAGCAGAAGTCTTTTATTAACCATCGTGTCAGTTTAGTTTCCCCAGAGACAAAAACCAAAGATTTAGAGAATTTTTAAAGTTTTTTAATCCTAATTCTTCTAAGAGGAGGCTGCAGTTCACAGTTCTGGCCTCTAGGTGTCACTGCAGCCTTCCAGCTGGACCTTTAAACAGTTTAGTTGAGCCAAACGACTGAAACCCTCGGCACGGTGACCTTGGACTCCTCGTGCTCTGAGACGTTCACCCGTTTGAAACGTCGGGACCTGTAAACTAACGCTTAGACTTTATCCGTCCAGCTGAAGGAGGTTTCCTTCTTTCATCCTTTTTGATGATCTTTGCATCGATAAAGTGACTCGTTTTAGTGACGAGCGGCGGCGACGTTTGGCTTCGATCTCAGGATGAAGAGTTGAAATGAACCCACACGCACTGAGAGGACTGGATTTTTCCCACGTGCGTGTCCCAGTTCACCATTCTGATGCTTTATTCCGGCAGCGTGGGATTTCACGCCGCGGTGCCCCGTCGGCGCGTGGCTTCACATCTTCTTTTGCTTTTCTCCACACGAAGCTGAAGCGTCAGCAGGAACAAACTAAAGATGGAAAACGCCAAAGGCTGCTGACGACAGAACCTTCAAAATAAAAGCTTTTTCACCCTGTTTTGAAACCAGAAAAATGCACACTTCCTGTTTCTGGAGATTGTTCCCTACATGTTTATGGAAGCTGAAGGGTCTCTTTTCCAGGATGGTTTGTAAAATTCCAGCTTTGTGCCAGACTTCAGTATTTCCTGTCTGCTGCACCTCCTCCAGTGTTGCGGTCTGTTGGGAGCCCGGCTGGTTTCAGCCGGAGCTCGCCATGCAGCGGCGGCGGCGGCGGCAGCAGCGGTGAGGTGGTGACGTGAAAACTCAGCCATGCTTTCTGGACTCTTATTTCTGACCCAAACGTTGAAGCGGAACGAATGTAAAGCTTTGTGAGATGAAACAAAGCTGGTCAGAACCAGATGTGTGTGTGACGTCACAGCGCGTCGTCGCTGCCAACGGGGTGTGCCTGAGACACACGGATTTATCCTGCTGTTGATGCCTTGTACAGATTACAAACGGAGGAGCCATTTCTGCTTCTCGTCACGTTAATAAGCTGAAACGAGTGGATTATTTTTAATCTGGAGGGATTTTCTGCTCAGATTCTGGTCTCGTCGCTGCGTTGCACAACTTGTTTGTCCTTATTTATGTTCCATTCCTTTGGCATGTCTGTGAATGTTCTTCGTACTTCTGACACTTTACAGTGTGAAATGTTTTATAATAAATTCTTTACTTATGGCTGTCGTCTCTCTGGAACGTCTGCAGGTTCCCGCCGTCGCCTCACGGATCATTTTTAACGATTTTAAACAAGAATGATGTTTAGTTTGGATCCCGGTTGATGCAGAAAGTGAACTGGTGCCAAAAGTGGTCAAATAAATCGACTGTTTATGGATTTTATTGTATGTCTTTCTCAATAAAATCATTTAAATCACCAAACTGAGTGGTGTTACCAAAATAAAAGCTTCATCACATGTTTAACTTTTTAATAGCTCATCACCCATTTGAATATCTTTAAAAAGGTTGTCGCTTTGCACCAACGCATTAGCCTGGCAGGTCATCCTGAGAACATGGAGTCTGGACGGCGAACAATGCTGGGTTGGGTCCGACTGCTCTACGACGCCTGACTGGGGCAGCCAGGTTTCTGGCGGGGTCTTAAGAAATATGACCATATTAGTTCTGAGCTGGCGACGCTCCATTGGCTGCCGGTCTCTTCAGTTCTTTCAGGGCTGTCCCCCCATACCTTGGAGATCTGTTAAGAGACCTGTACCCTCAAGGTCACTGTGCTCTGCTTGCCGTCCCTCGCTTCAGGGCCAGGACATGCAGGGATAGGGCATTCTCAGTTCTAGCCCCGTCCCTCTGGAACACGTTACCCCATAACATTAAGCTGTCTCCATCTTTGGCTGCTTTTAAGAGTCGCTAGATTAATTTTTATCGTCTGGCATATGTTCGGCGACTGGTTTTATCTGTTTTTAATAGTTTTCTTTCATTGTTCGCTTTTTATTGACCTTGTTTTCTGGTCCTATTCTGCTGTTGTCTTATTTTCTGTTTTATTTGTGCTGAGTTCAGCGCTTCGGGTCCCCCTTGAGGATGATGGAAAGCGCTATACAAAAAAAAAAGTTTGATTGATTAAACTACATGTTGTACTCATCGCTACGAATGTTGGCCAACGGGGCAGTCTGCCATCCATCGATAAATAAAGTCTCTGGAGTTTTTCTCTTATCCGATGGCACCATCTAGTGGCTGACAAGCATATCACACAAATAATTTCTCCTTCCGTTTTTTTAAGATGGCGGCTTCACGTTTCTGTTTATAAATGTGCTTCTGTAGCCGATGAACAGCTAAAACACGTTTTACGAGTATTATCCTCATGTCGTGTTGTGTTCTCCTGTATTTATATTTTAGAGACTTACTTGTCCTGAAAAGTTCATCAGCTCTGCATCAGCTGAGGTAAATGTGAGGCATCTAAGCGGTAGTCTAACGCTATTGGTTAGTTCTAGTTTCCAATTGCGTGGAGCTCTGCAGGGCAGGAGGCGTTCTTGGTAAAAAAAAATAAATATAAAAAAAGAGACATATTGCTTATATTATATCACAGTACATGATGAGTTCATTAGTTTTACAGACTTCTGAAAAATTATACATCATTTCTGAAAGAAGAAAACTCTGGAAAGATACTTTAAGTACCTCTATCTGATCTTGACTCAAGGAAAAACCTCAAGACTAAATAGTCCAAAGTTGATGTCAAAGCCGTTTCAAATAAGCCTTCGCCATCTTTATTTTGCTCAGTTGTAGTAGCATCCCGCCCACCAAACAGATAGAGCTCTGTGATTGGCCCACCAAACAGAGTAACCGGGACTAGACCGACATCTGACAAAAATAATTTTGCTTCAGTAACCGACGGTCTAGTTTTTGAACCACCTGTTCTGCAGATCACCAAACTCTGCAGAAGCCCGTTACTCACAGCCGGATTAAGACCAGGTGTGTTGGAGGAGAGAAATCTCCTGCAGTATGGTGGCCCTTGAGGACCATGGTTAGGACACTAGAATCCTAATGAAACATCCACTGAACTTAATTCAAATAGAAAAGCTAAACTAAATGCATCTGGACCTTTTGGGATATTTACTGGATCTCCATCCTTGCAGCTGCAGGAACGTTCCTCCCACTCACTCACATGACAGTCACCTGTTTGTCACCTGAGGCACTCTGGATCCGTCCCGGCTTGTCCCGACTGCTGCGTCAGACCCAGACAACGGCTCGGGTTGCTGAAGCAGCACGTTCTGTTAAAACACGTTTTCTCAGAATGACAACAAAAGAATCCGTCAATCAAAACATAACGTGTTTTTATTTGTTTTCATTACGCGGTTCAATTATTTCATTTTAATTCAGCTATTGTACATACAACTGATGGCAGCGAGCATGAGTAGCATTTATTTGTTGGAGTAAGTTAAAAACAAAAGTTGTTTTAATAAAACAAACATGTAATAAAAATGATTCCCTTCACATGAAAACAAACCAGCACTTATGAGGTTTTGTTTCCCAAATGCTTCAGCTTCAGATCCAACAATAGGTTCTGGACTTTAGGGCATCCTAACAAAGGGTTAATAAATGGCATCAGTATTCCAGCTGTAGATCAGGGGCTCTAGGACCACTCCCTGAGGGCTACCATCCTGCTAACGTGTGTTTGAGAGGAGTTGGAGATCGACCTGAGCTCACCGTAAATACCAGCGAGTCCAACTGAACGCTTTGTGTCTTCGACTCGTCACCAACAAGTCTTGGTGGTCATAGGAGGACAACACAACGCGACCTCGGCAGCAGACTCACCCTGATCCGTCAGGGCTGCTCTCCTGCAGGTTTCAGGTGATTTTCTGCTCCAACTCCTGATTTTACGTTGGTTGCTGGAAAATGAGCTTCTGCAGAAGTTGAGCACCAGCTGGAGAGGGGATCAGTGGTTGGGTCAGGAGTGCTGAAACAGGAAGTCCTGCAGGACAAAGACCCATGAAGACCAGAGTTGGACGAAGCTAACCCACTAAATAAACAATAATGGAAACAGATTCAACTGCTTTTATAACGGTTATAATAAAACACGGCATCAGAGAAGAACCCAACTTATGACCCACGGGGGTCCTGACCCTACACCCTACCAGCCCCACCCCCGCTCAAGAACCACTGAGAGAGAAAAAAAAGACAAAATTAGACCATTCAGGTGAATGAAACCGAATTTTAAAGCTGTTTGATTAAATAAATAAAACGTTTATTTGATTTATCAACTTGGACTTGTTTGGTTTCTTGTTTTTGGTTTCCAGTTGCCTTCATTGGAAGCCCTTTGGATTACCATGACCTGGATGACTGAGACCCTTCAGCAAATAAATGGAGACGGCAGAAAAACACCCAGAGATTAAAACGTTTGCCGTGCGCCAAACATGTAACAGCACCAAACGTAAACCTTTAGGCTGATCTCAAACCACGAGGTTTATCAGGAAGTATTGAGTGTTACGAACGGGTCCAGTTTCATTCCGATCGGTACCAAACAGAAAGTTGGTAAAAAACATTTTTCCTGGAACGGGTCAGGTGATGGGTGATGACGCAGAAAAAAACAGAGGTGGAGTTTTAAATCTAAACATGTTCTTCTGACACGTCTGGGTTTGGATCAATAAAACGTTTATCCTGATCGGAGGATCAATAAAGACCTTTAGAGTTTAGATCAATGACAAGTCCCTGCGTAGAGTCAGAACCTGAAGTGGCTTGTTCGTGGATCTGTGGTGAAACTGCGTGGAAACAGTCGGTCTCTAGTTTAACCATCTGGTGAAAATGCTTTTATTTATCAAATAAAACTTAATTTATATAGCAATTAATCATACAATGCATGTAACTCAAAGTGCTTAACAAATTAAAAAGACCCGCATACCCACATTCCCTCCCATCCCCAGAATTTTAAAAACAGTCTGAGAATAACAACCCCTTCACAACACTCCTCCTCCAGCACACACACACACACACACACACACACACACATTCCCCATGGAAAAAACACAATGGACTGAGTTCAGATGAGCCAAACCAGCTAAGATAAGGAAACAACATCAGGGGAGCCATCCGCCCCAACAGCAGCAGATCCACAACAGCAGCCGAGGCACCGACACAGGGCGCCCAGGGCAGGGAGGGCGGAGACCCCCACCTCCACCCAGGCACACCTGGAAAGCACCCAGGCCGCCACAGCCGACCACCGCCCCCGGGGCAGAGGGCTCCCACAGAGGAGACACTGGAAAAATGTTATATTAAGGTTAAAATATAAAAATAATAAGAGCTAAAATAAAATGTGTAATATAAAAAGTTATGTAGATATTAAAATAATGTTATCTGAGATTTAAAACATTTATTCAGCAGCGTTATGAGTTTTTTCCCCATCGTATCTTCCTACAGTTCAGATGAATTTTTTTTTCATATTGATGAATCTCACAAGTTTGTTTTCACTCGTTGGTCTTCAGCGAACAACCAGCCTGGGCTAAAAACTAAAAGGTTGTTATTTTAGGGAAAGTGGATAAAAACTCAATCAAAATTCCCTTTAAAATTGCAACGATTCTCATCCATGTTGGTTGGATCTTCCTCCATTAAACAAAAACCTTTGGAGTCCTGAACTTCCTGTCCCCCAGACATCTTCTGTCCCCTGGGTGTGTCACAGAGAGACCGAGACAAACCTAAAGGATGTTTAAATCCGTGGTGACAGAAAAACACGTCTAACTCAGAATTAAAGTCCAACACACCACGAGTTACAGAGGATGGCTCGTCACTCAGAGGAGCTTTTATTGTGGAGGAGCTGATCACAGCAACATTCATATTAAAGCTGGAAGTGAACTTTTATAGTTATTTGTTCTGGTGTCATGACGGCCTTCTGCGAGATGAATCGTAAGCTTGGGACTTTAGCGGAGATTCATTCTTTGGCACAAAAGATGCCATCAAGGATAGAGTGGACGAATCAGCACGGATTGGGATAGATTAATGTCCATTATTGGGATTTTGAGAGGTTGAGGACCAAGGAACTGTAAGACAGAGAGGAAATCATCTCTGTCTGGCCCCAAACAATTTCTAATCGGAATCTGGCGCCCTTGAGCCTGCAAGGCTCCAACGAAAACTCCCCCCTCAGAAGATATGTGGAATGTGCCGTCGCTACAGCAACTCAACTCTGTCTCCTTTCCCAGCCTGGGCGGGACTGCGGAAAGGCCGCTGAAACGTTTCAGGGTCACTGCAACCCTCAATGCTCCTCCCCTATCCACACTGAGATGACATGCACTGTTTATCGTGGCTGCAGGAACTGAAGTGGGGATAGTCCCAACCCACCACCCCACCTAGTAGACACTTATGTTGTGTTGTCTGAAGTCTGTTGCATGTCTGTCTGAGGTGTTTTTATGCAGAGCAAAGCTGCCCTCCCGGTGCAGGGTAAAGCCTGGTTTATGCTTCTCCGTCAGCTCCGCAAGGAACAGACACGCACGGATTGACGGAAGCGTTTTGCTCTTTTACTTCTCCGTCTCCTGGGGAGTGTTGCAAAGCAATTGCCTGGCAGGACAACAGAGGGCGTAGCGCTGTTCTGTGGTATCCTGTCATGTACCGGTCCAAGATAGTGTGTTTAAATTGTGTTTTTTTTTATAAGAGACTTTTTAACACAGACAAATTTGTCTCTCATCCTCCTCCACCTCTTCATGCGCTCGCCATCTCTAAACCCACGTTTCCTGTCATTTCTGTCAACAAATAAAACACTTGCTGTGCAACTTTTCACTCCTCCAGTCACGGGGGAATTAAACGTTCATGTTTTTAGAGTTTTTTCGCGAGCTATTCTTCAAGCTTCTCCGTGTCTGCCGCTAGTTATCCTCGGCTCTCTTTATGTTTTTGAAGGTGCAATGGCGGCGCTGTAAACAACAGCAGCGTCCTGACCAATCACAAGCTTGCGTTGTCCGTCTCGACTGACGGATGTTTGGAAAAGAGAGCTTGACTCCGTCCGTCCTTGCGGAGCTCTCCGGCAGGTCCGCAAGGACGTTGCGTGTCTCCGCACTGACGCAGACGGAGAAGCATGAATCAGGCTTAACTCTCAAGTGCCTTTTTTCCCTCCACCTGAACCAATCCTCATGTAACCCTTTTATTTCTATTAAGGTAGCGCGACTCAGGGTTGCAAATGACCACAGTCACCAATTCTTGTCATGTGTCTTGCCCGTGTATGTCTGATCTCTGAATTGTGTGTACTGAAACTCTAATTTCCCTCTGGGATTAATAAAGTATCTCTGAATTTGATTTGATTTGATCCAGGTCAATGAGAAAATTACAGAGGAGGTCAGCCCCAGACCCCAACTGTATTTGTTCTGTTGGTATAAATAATTATAACAACTGAGGGTTCTGGGAGAGGTTTTTTCTGAGTAAATTTTTAAATCTAAATATTATATTGACGTAAAGTTACTTTTCTTGGCTGCTTCTGCAGAAGCATTCACAGCAAACTCAATAACTCCTCAATCCTTCAAATTAAGAGTCATACACAATAAACTGTCTAAAGTTATAAAAAAAAAACGAGTCTCACTAGAGAATAATGTAAACAAACTCTTCCACCTGCAGTAGGACCAATGCCTTTGCTGCTCGTTTCTGTAGGCCTGTCTTCAGCACAGAGAGTGAGACAGATGTTTCTGGTGGCTGACGGGTCAGAAAAGTGCTCGGTCACCATCACCACGTGTGAGTGTGAGCAACACGGTCAGCTGCTGTCAGGAGATGTTCTGCTGGGAGGTGTGATGCCGTGTTAACACAACCACATCCTGACAACGTGCAAGTGAATCACAGTTCAATCCTGCTGTCCTGGAGGCCTGTGGGCGTAGATCGACACGCGATGATGTTTCAGCTCAGAGTGGCTTTTTTAGGAAATGTCATTATAGAAGCGAGAACGTTTCTACTTTCAGATCCGTTTGAGGAAGGTGAGACGAAAACCACAGCGGGCCGCCTCGTCCAAGCGTGGAGATTGAAAATAAAAACTCTGGTGTTCAAAAGCTTTCAGAAACGAAATCAGGACTAGCCCACTGGAGCCCCGATTCAGCTGTTTCTCTGCTAAAACCTGCAAGGGTGGAGGTCCTGGAGGACCCGGGTTGAGCTGATTTTTATATAACATCTGTGATGTGTGTCTCTAAGGAGCAGATCTCAGCAACCAGTATCTCACCTGCAGCAGATAAGGAACCTAAATGCAGCTTTCCAGGAGCACTACTCGGAGTGGCTCAGACCGGTGCAGCTCGGCCCGACCGCGCTTCCCAAAGGCACGGTTCGGTATTTCCCCTCTAACCCGTCCCGTATTTTTAGTCCCTGCTCCGTCGAGGTACCTGGCAAGGCTGGGTCGGGTCAGCATCGTGGTTCTGGCCGCTGGTGGGCTAGGGGCGGAGTCACCGGTTGCTCCGGTGTTTTCTGCTTTCTGTTTCACTGCCTGCCGCCATTTCCTGGTTCAGAGTCTGGCAAAAGGCCACAAAACTGAGCAGAACGTCCAGCAACACCATTTTCCAGCTATTTTCTAATCAGCTTTGCCTTACATCTTAGGTGTGTTCTTGCTGTGTCGTGGTTTTAATTCCATGCTGTCGTTCTTTTTAAAACACAAACAGTTTTGTTTACCTGTTTTGTCGCTACGTTTCGCCGGCGGCTGCAGGCTTCTTCAGGCTGACGCTGATGGTGGCGCGTCACTTCCTTCTCCGTTTATCCTTTGCCTTACGCCCTGAATCACACCAGAGGTGAAAAGTAATGATGTTTACTCGCGTTACTATAATTGAGTAATTATTTTGTGTTTTTAAGTACTTTTACTTGAGTATTTTTTTAAATTATTGTACTTTGCTACATTTTCATCATATCTGTTGCTGAGTAAAAAAAACGATATAGGCTTAATAATACATTTAAAAAACGATTGCGCTTTGCAGCGTCGGAACAGAAAGAGAGACACCTGCATGAGTGCGCTGTCTCACCCGTGGCGGGTGTGGGTGTACGCTTTTTATGTTGAGGACGTTAAACAGCCACACTTTTCCCGAAGTTTTACTCTAAAACATCGGTCTGGTCCCTGTGATGCACAGGAGGACATTTTGCTGGTGCACCCCAATACGTTTTAGAGGAATGGTGTGAATTAGCTTTTGAGTTTAGGTTAGGGTTAGCAATAGAACACCATTGGTTAAGGTAGGGTTATGGTATGGGTTAGGCATAGTGAAGTGGTGTGTGCACCAGACACCTCCATCCCTACATACATTAATTAATTAACTAATTAGTTAATTACTTAATTAACTTACTAATTAATCAACCAATTAAATAATTAATCAATTTACTAATTAATTAATTAAGCAGCTTGCTAATTAATTAATTAATTATGTTTGGAACAACAAATAAACTTCCCCCGTCTGTTGTTTTTTAAACGGCAGCAACGACTCATGCGTTCACATCAGCGCCTTCACAAGTGACTAAATTGTTTGTAACTAATTTGAAAATCTTCTGCTAGAAGTTTAAGAAATCTAAATACGGAGACGAAGCTACAGGTACGAGAAGGTTATAAGGTGTTAGCAGTTTCAAGTCGGCCCTGAAAACGCACTTCTTTAGTATTGCCTTCCCTCCGTGACACTTTTCATGAAAATCCAGCACCGGATTTGAGTTTTTAATTCCGTTTTTATGACTCAGTTGCACACTTTTGGCACCTCGCACCATCTGGTTGCTCATTTGGTTTTATTTGTGCCATTTCAAATGTTTTTATCATTTGTCGCATTATTTTATTTTTTATAGTGCTGTTAACTGTTCTCCTATTTTATTGTTTTTAGTAGGAATTTTTATCTCAGACTATTTATGCTTTGTTCTTATGTCTTTTGCCTGTTCTTATTGGGTTTCTTGTTCAAGCATTTGGCTTTTTCATGTACAGCACTTGGGTTAGCTGCCATGCTATTTTGAAATGGTGCTTTATAAATAAATATGGTATGGTATGGTATAAAACAGCACTTTTTAAATGAACTGCTATGAAGGTTTTTGTTTGGAATAGTTCTGAGAATTTTTGGTCCGGTTGGGATTAGCTGTTAGCCCATCTGTTTGATCACAAATAATCTCGTTTTCTCCAAACCGAGGCTGATCAAATAACTAACTAATAAGCAAAAGAAAAAGTGCTGAAGCATTCAGATGCTTGGATGTGCGTTGACCCGGAGTGCTGACTCATTATTTAATCAGGAGCTGAGCGTCTGCACAGTGCAGTGTTTCACCATCATATCAGTCACATGACACCAGTATTGATTAACTCTGACTCTGATCGTGGAAGCTCTGACAGGTTTTCATGGCTCTGAAGCACAAAAGTCATTCATGATCCTGAATTAAGGTGTAAATATTTATTTTTAGTTGTGGAAATCTTAAATAGGACAGAAAAGGTATAAAAATGACTGGGTTTAAATACAGCATTGTGCTTTCGTTCACAGGTTTTACATTATCGCATCTTAATCATAAACCTTCACAATTTATCTTAACAGAAGCTGATACGGATTGTTCTTTGCCAGCTCACTAAACCACGCTTTGTGTTTTCTGCAGCATTTTACTACTTTATTTTTTTAAACCAAAATGTCAGCATGCTAAATGTTGTGTTCTTGACACATCAGGTAAACACTTAGTAAAAAGTGTTTATGTGTATAAAAATATGAGCAAAACCTTGTAATTCCCTGCTGAATTAATCTCATTCGTCAGACTGTGAATTGTTTACCTGGAGACTCAAACATCTGATCAATAAGCAGTCAGGTGGTTCAACCACCAAACAGAGCAGCTGCAGAAACCCGTCTGCCGGTTTGTTTTGTAACTTAATAATCTTTATCATCAGAACAGTTTATCAATTTATAGTTAAAGCACTTTCAACAAATGTTTTCATAGAAAAACAGAAACCGTTCTTGTGTTTAACTGGAAAAGAAAGGCTGCTGATGATTCACTTATCCAAGACTAGAGGACTCATCCTTATAGGTGTAAATATCACTTTTATACCGTTTATTATCCACTAATGTTCACATATTTCAGTGTTTGTGTGTTATAATCGAACACAAGTAAAAACAAACTGACACCAGCAGAAAAAAAACATTGTTTTAATCGATTTTTTAAATCCAAAAACAACCTTTTCCAGAAGGAGGGAGTCACGTGCTTCCGTGATGGCGTCATCTAAATGGGCGAGGCATCGATGGGAGCAAACATGGATCTGACCAATCAGAGAGCTCGGTGGGACGTTATCCAGGGGCCGCTTCGGCCTTTATAACACTAGCTTTTCCCGTTATAAAGAGCCTTTTCCTGCTTCTCCATTCCATAATCAGCTTTGTACAGTAAGTTTGACGCATTTTAACATGATAATGATTCAAAATTTGACGTCTGTGTTTCGCTGTTCAGCTAAATTATACGATTTATTGTGCCTTTGTTGTGTTGGTAAACAGCAAACCAGCTTCCATTAAAAAACTAACACATTTGAAATATTTATCTGGTAAATGACGTTTTTACTTGTGAAAAGTCTTCGGCAGTGTTCTTATGTGTTTTTGTGAACCGTTCGGTTTAATTCGGCCGCCTTTGGCGTCGTCTTCACTGCTTCTTCTGATCCCAACGAGCAGTTTGTTAGTTATGTTTGTTTAGTTTGATGTAAACGAACAGAAACGGCGCCATCCTTTCTCCAGACGTGGATCGGGAGGATGAAACCATCATGTTTCCGGGAATGTTTTGGTTTTCTTTTTGTTTTCCTTGTTTGCGGCGTTTGGCTGTTTCTTGGCTCCGTGCCGAGACAGTAGATCCCGTGACTGGGCTCACAAAACAAACAGGACCGGTCTGGTCAGGAGAACCGGCCTACGCGAGCCAGAACTAGCCCGGTCTCTACGGTTCTGACCCGGTTCGGGTTGGAAATGAGCTCTTGGTTTTCATTGTGAAATCCAGGATGACCAGTGAACAAGTTGTTCTTGAGCCAGTCAGCTGGGTGGAGTTTGAACAGCCTGGGTTCAAACAGTTTCTTGTGAAATTTGATCCCTGACGTGTTTACTTGTTGTTTTCCCAGTAAAAAGCCATAAAGATGCTTCCCTTGGTCGTGCTGATGCTGTGTCTGAGCTCGGTTCTCCCAGCACCGAGCCTGGACCCACAGCTGGACCAGCACTGGGATCTGTGGAAGAGTTGGCACAAGAGGAGCTACCATGAGGTGAGGAGAGCGGTCCTGATCCTGTCTGATATTCTGGTTCTGAAGGAAGTTCTAATGGAGGTTCTGGTTTAATGCAGAGGGAGGAGGGCTGGAGGAGGATGGTGTGGGAGAAGAACCTGAAGAAGATTGAGATGCACAACCTGGAGCACTCCATGGGCAAACACACCTACCGCCTGGGCATGAACCACTTTGGAGACATGGTGAGACCCACGCAGACCTCCACTGGGTCTGGTAGAACTTTATAAAACAACACAGATGTGGTGTTTTCGTAGAAGATCCGCTCCAGCAGCAGGATGTTTGACCTTCTGGTCGTTTCTCCCTCAGACTCACGAGGAGTTCAGGCAGATCATGAATGGCTACAAGCACAAAGCAGACAGGAAGGTGAAGGGGTCCCTGTTCTTGGAGCCCAACTTCCTGGAGGCTCCGCGATCCGTGGACTGGAGGGAGAAGGGTTACGTCACCCCCGTCAAGGACCAGGTAAGCGTCTGGGGAGAGCCTCTGAGCTGGACCTTCCCACAAACCTGAATTTAGAGTTTCAGAAAATAAAACTAAGTTTATGATTTTATAAAGTCTGGATTACTGAAGTAAAAAGATCCATAAATCCCGACTTTTCTGTATTCCACATAAGTTCATAACAAGCCTCTTGGCTCTCGTAGTGACTCAGATGCTGTAAGCACACGGCTGCATCAGCAGTTTATTTTGATGTGCTGTTGGGTCAGCGGGAGGTGGAACCGACAACCTGACATCAGCTGTTGAAGCTTTTTTTAAACAAGCCTCGGCCCACTGAAGGGAGATAAGACAAACTTATGCACGTTTTTATTATCTACGTGCTGCACCCACCCCGGCATACATTACTGTAGGCTGAAACTGGCTGGAACCGGCTCACCTTAAACAGGTCAAGGTTTAGCAAACAGACGACCATATATGGGCGCTGGTCTATTTTTCTGTTTAAATAAGCTTGAAAGTTTGAGTTTAACGTTTGAATCCTCATATTTCTGGTTGCCGAGCTGCTCACAGACATGTGCACGCTTCTACAGGTAGCTCAGGTGATGTTCCCAACGATGGCGTTAGACTAGCTCGCCTCAGAAGAAACCAGCAGGTCAGAAGTTGGCTGAAATATTGATATTTAAGTATTTGCTCTTAGTCATGAAATAATGCTGACTGTTTCTTTTTAAAATGTTTAAACTAAAGGGTGTACATGTGTAGCGCTAACCAGCCAAAAGTAACAGATTCTTTTTTTGAAGGCCGATGCCGATTTCTGATTCTTGTGCACCTCTGACCTGCCAATACCGATTTTTATTTATTTATTTTTTTTTGCTGAATCTGATTCAGAGTAAAATATCCGTGGGGGATCGGAATCAGCCGGTCTGAAATCCAAAAGTTATAGGTTTTAAAATATATTTCAATTCAAAGATACTTTATTAATCCCAGAGGGAAATTAGAGTTTCAGTACACACAATTCTGAGATCGGACATTCATACGTAGACACATGACAAGAATTGGTGTCTGTGGTCATTCGCAACCCGGGTCGCGGTACCTTAATAGAGATCAGAGGGTTTATATGAGGATTGAGTCAGGTGGAGGGAAAAAGGGCACTTCAGAGCTACCCTCCACAGGGAGGACAGCTTTGCTATGCAAAAAACACCTCAGACAGAAATGCAACAGACTTCAGACATCACACAACATAAGTGTCCACTAGGTGGGGTGGTAGGGTTGGGGACTCTCCACACGTCAGTGCCTGCAGCCATGATGAGCAGCGCACGTCACCTCAGTCTGGACAGGGGGAGGGAGGTCGTTGGGTTTACAGAGCACAGTGACTCCTGGAACGATTCAGCGGCCTTCAGCAGTCCCCTCCCAGGCTGGGATAGGGTGACAGTTGCCATGGCGACGGCAGCATTCCACATTTCTTCTGAGGGAGGGGTATTCGTTTCAGCCTCACAGGCTCAAGGGCACGAGATTCAGATAAGAACTTGTTTTGGGGCCAGACAGATAATTTCCTCTCTTAAAGTTCCGATGATCCTCAACCTCTCAAAACCCAGTAATGGAGTAGATTACTCTATCCCAATCTGCTGATTCATCCCCTCGCTCCTTGATCGCATCCATCTTTTTTGCCAACGCACGAATCTCAGCCAAAGCTCCAAGCTTACGACTCATCTCGACAGTAGGGCTGTAGCGAAGCCTCGACGAAGTCGACGGCTCGATTCTAAAAATTTGTCGACGTCAGATCCGGAAGTCGACGCACCGCGCCCACTTGTTGCATCCCCAGGAGTTTGTAAATAGAGGAGGAATCTGCCCGTTTTTCCTCTAGTTCGCCCTCTTCTCCGCCTTCCACTAACATCTCCGCCAAATACCGAAGACCCGGAACAACGTCCGTCCTCTACTAGATTATTTTCCTGTTTTGCCCCTTCGTCTCCCGGCAATGGACAACAACTTCCGGGGTCAGATGCGCTGCTTCGTGTCTATCGCAGATGTAGAAAATCACCGGGAGCGCTTCTCCCTTCATTAAGGAGCTTCTTTCAGACATTAGGAGAGCTGTTTTGGTGGTAGCAGTCTCTCCTCTGTGCTGGTCTGTTTGCTGCTGGGTGTTTTTGGTTTATTTAAACTTGGTAACTTCAACTTAACGTTGATAAAGCTACTGTTAGCATCTTCGCTAACAGCTTCTTGCGTTGGGATAAGCTGTTACGTTTTGGTTTAGAGTTGATCTTTTTTGTGGTGTAGATCTCCCTTTTATTACATTTAGAGTGTTGTGGGTTTTCGGTTTAGTGTAAAATATCACCTGAGTTTGGTTTAACCCGTAACACCACTCGCCTCACGCACATAAGTGACCAAAACAAAGCAGTATGGAGACACTCCATCTTCTACCACCTCTCAGGCAGCAGCCTGCACTCCCAAGTTCTACACGTCACCAGAACATAACCAACCGCAACACAATAAAAGCAGTGTTATACAAAATGGAAGGCCTGTAGTGTTTATTCTCTTACAGTAAGAATTTATCTTTTTTTTTTGAGGAATTTATTTGAGATTTTCTGGTTTTTGTTAATTGTGCAATAGAAAAATAATCATTAGATTAATTTTCTAAATAGTCATTAGAATAGTCGACTATTCGATAAAATAATCGTCAGAATAATCGTTTTAAAAATAATCGTTTACCCCCAGCCCTACTCGACAATTAGATGAGTTTGTGCGTTCACAGCGCGGTGTAATCCATCCCTGAGCTCCGGGATCAGGCCAATATTCCTCGACTGCTCGTTAATTTTCCGGTAAGCCAGGTAACCGCTCAGGCCAATGAGCAGGAAACCTGACACCAACACCATGAATATCCAGACGTCTTCAGAGTCCTCCACAGACAGCTGAGATAAGCAGATCAGGGTCCACTGTTTCCAGGAGTCCATGATGTGCCCAACTGGATCTGTCCCAGAGGGGCACCCGGGAGCCCCTTCTCCCGTTCTCATCGTTGAGAAAATGTTGTCAGTCGCGTTGAGTGACCAGCTGATCAGATCCATTTTTAATAATTTCCAGTTTCCAGAAATAATGCAGAAGCGCCGTCCACCCAAAGACAGACAAAGAGCCTTAGGATAAGATAGGGAGGAGAGGAGGAAAAAAGTGTCTGTACTCTCCAAGAGCTGGAAGAAGAAAAAAAAAATTAGATAATCGGGGTTGGTATCGGTCCTCATGACCAGAATCGGTGCATCTCTAAATGAGTATTTTTAAAATCTGATAAATTTTGAAGTCATGATTCTGAATTTAAAAACCGAAACATGACGGGTCTGTTCTCACTTGGCGCCGAGCCGATCCTGACGCTCCTTCCTCTTCCAGGGTCAGTGTGGTTCCTGCTGGGCTTTCAGCACCACCGGAGCTCTGGAGGGTCAGGAGTTCAGGAAGACCGGGAAGCTGGTGTCCCTGAGCGAGCAGAACCTGGTGGACTGTTCTAGACCCGAGGGCAACGAGGGCTGCAACGGCGGTCTGATGGACCAGGCCTTCCAGTACGTGAAGGACAACATGGGTCTGGACTCGGAGGAATCCTACCCATACCTGGGGACGGTACGTAGCTCAGGATGCACGTCTCTCCTGATCTCGTGTCCCGTCCACCTTTCTGACGGGGTTGTTTGTTCTGTAGGATGACCAGCCGTGTCACTACGACCCCAAGTACAACTCTGCCAACGACACCGGGTTTGTGGACGTTACCAGCGGCAACGAGCGTGCTCTGATGAAGGCCGTGGCGTCTGTGGGACCGGTTTCTGTTGCCATCGATGCCGGTCACGAGTCGTTCCAGTTTTACCAGTCGGGTCAGTTTCTCTTTAGGATGCATTTGTGTAGTTTAAACGTATACAACCCACTCCTGCAGAACGTGACCGGGTTCTGGTTCTGCTTCAGGTATCTACTTTGAGAAGGAGTGCAGCAGCGAGGAGCTGGACCACGGCGTGCTGGTGGTGGGTTACGGCTTCCAGGGAGAAGATGTAGACGGCAAGAAATACTGGATCGTCAAGAACAGGTGGGTCAGAACCGCAAACGTACCTTTAACCTCCAGAATGATCCGGCTTTTTTGGGAGGAGTACTAGCATAGAGCAGCGGGTTGGTGTGATTCCTCCTAAAACTCGCTTTTGTTTCTTTTTTTTGGATCAAAAGTCTTTAAACCAGGAGCCTCATTCATCAAACCTCCTTAGGAATATTCCTAAATTCCCTCCTAAGAGCGAAATCCAGAGTGTTCGTAGGAACGGTTAAAATCCGGATTTATGGAACATGTGGTGGCCTCGTGCGCATGTTCCTCCGCAATCGTCTGATAAATCCCACCCGGGTGCTCGCGTCCGTTCACCGTGATTCACATACAGACTCCCTCGATTAACCGTATTTGGTCATGCCACTTCCTCAGCTTGTGTGGGTGTTTCTCACAGCCAAGGAACCTCTCCTCGATGTCTTGGCCCCGCCCCGGTTGCCTAGGAGATACGTCATCGGGAGCCGCCATGACGTGTTCCAATGTTCATGTTCTATCGAGGCTTGTTCTCCGTTTGTTAGCCGTTTAGCTAGCTGAGCGAGGATACACGGGAGGTGTCTTGTAGCCTAGCCTTGGTCAAAGATTACCCAGAATACACTGCGGTATTCTCAAAAGGACGGCAGATCAGAAGCAGGCAGCTACTTGGGGGGGCAAATATCAAGTTTAAAAGTAAGTCGGCTAATTTGAAATGTTTTTTTTTTAGATCCAAAGAAGTTATCTATGGTTGGTTAGTAGCTTAGTAGTTGCAGCTTCGGTGGCTAGCGGGTAGTAACTCACTTATATTTTTAATTTAATAAATACATACACGATTTAAAAAGTAAAAGCTCATTACATATTTATATTGAAACTAATACATATAAAATATAACGTTATCTCTTGTGTCACGTGACGTTACGTGACCGCCGTGGTCACATGATGCAAGTCTGTTCCATTTAACTGTTTTCTTTGACCAAGGAAGGACCGTGTCCTCGTAAGCAAGGCGCCTTAACACTGAGAAACGCCCACTTGGTTCTCAACAAACAAACAAACAAAAATCTGACAACGAGCTCGAGGCACTGGCTGCTGAAGTGCAAGAGACACAACCACGTTGCAGAGGTTATAAACGCGGTCTGGACAGAGGAAATAGTGGTTCCACGTACAAAAGAACATGATGAATGGTGGTAGCAGGTCGTCATTTACATTTAAGGAGCTGTTCTGTTTGGGGTTAGTTTCATTTGGAAATGTCTGAGAGTGCAGCCTCTTCTGAGCTGTGGTTCAGTCTGGTTACCGTGGCAACGCGTGTACGATCGGGGAGCAGAGGGGCTTCTGGGCTTTCTCGTAGCTGTAAAGTAGAATATGAACCGGAATCGGATTTTCTTATAATTAGGAACATTTTCACGCACGAGTACATAAGGATACCATACGATGCGTCATACATACGTACGGATGAGGGATGAGAGACTGAACCGGAACACAGAAATTAAAGATATTTGTTTTTGTGTTTTTTTTGTTGCAGCTGGAGTGAGAAGTGGGGCGATAAAGGTTACATCTACATGGCCAAAGACAGGAAGAACCACTGCGGCATCGCCACAGCAGCCAGTTACCCTCTGGTCTGATTGCTGGGACCACCCAGGGCTTCAGGCCAGAACCGTTTAGTGTTCTTTTTTTAGTTTGGAGCTTCGGTCGGAGCGACGCAGGAAATTCTGCTGTATTTCAGAACGAGAGCGTCTCGTTTTTAAGGAAACGTGGCTGTTTTTGTTGTTGTTGGATGATTTTATCGCCACTTTAGTTTGTCTTTTAAATTGTAGTTTAAAGTTTTCCAACCATCCATCGTCTGAACCCACTTTGTCCATGTAGGGTGGGTGGGGGGCTGGGCTGGTCAATGGGCAATCAGGCGGGGTACACCCATTCCATCGCAGGGCAACACAGAGACACACAGGACAGTCTCTCTCACACACACACACCTAAGGTCAGAACCCACGCATGCCCAGGGAGAACATGCAAACTCCATGCAGAAAGATCCCAGGCCGGGAAGCGAACCCAGGACCTTCATGCTACAAGACAACGGCTCTAACCACTGCTCCACCGCGCAGCCCCAGTTTAGAGTTTTATTCTATGTAAATATGTTCATGCTACTTGGCGAGGGACTCCTGAACACTTTGCTTCAGGTTTTTGTAAATGAGTTTGTTGTTTTCTACTTTTACTGTGATCAAATAAAGTTTTTTAAAACACTAACGAGGAGTCCGGCTCAGACTGAGTAAACCTGCAGACTCGCGTTACGACCAGGGGCGGGTGAAGGACACGTCGTACCACAGAGGAGTGTGCAAACGGTTTTATTATAAGTAAAGTTTTTAAAACAAAGCTCCATTAAAGGGTCACCAGGTGGTGTTTACAAGGCGAGTGGTGACATTCTTAAAATGGGAATCTCAATTAAAACGGGACACATTAAATCCTCCCAAACGTGACACAAGGTCCACTAACCATACTCATGGGTGTCGGAACAAAGAAGAGCTTTTAACAAAAATCCTGCTGACTAAAGTTACGCTTTTTTACCCAAATGACAAAGAACATAATTTTCTATTTGATTTAATTCTCTTTAGTTGTTCAGCACCAGTTCAAAGCCCTGTACAAGAGCCGGGCCTGCCACAGTCGCCCTCTCCATTCCACACAGAGGAAGCATCAGCTAGCCGGCCAGGCTAGCTTTACAACTGAATCTACATTAGCTCGGGATGGAGTCCAGTTCATTATTCCAGTTAGTTACAACCCACCAGATTGCATGGAGTCGCTGACTTTCAGCATTAAAAAAACATTAGAAATGATCTTCTGACACTGTGGGCCTAACCCGGAACAACAACATTCAGATTAATGCTCGTAACCAACGGTCTTTATGATCTAAACTCTTGTGATGAGTTGGTAAAGGAGCTCTCCAAGAACTCAATATATATTAACTCTACTTTTGACCAATATGATGTGAATTTACATATAAATATGGGAATCCGGTCTGACTGGGCTTCAATTCAATTCAAAAATACTTTATTAATCCCAGAGGGAAATTATTTGCTGTAGTAGCTCAGAATAATAATAATAATCAAGTCATCATAGAGTTGTTGTATATTACAATGGCTGTTGGCAGGAAGGATCTCCAGTAGCGGTCAGTGTTGCAGCCAAACTGAAGAAGCCTCTGACTGAAGACACTCTTCCGTTGTCGGACAGTCTTGTGAAGAGAATGCTCAGGGTTGTCCATCATTTTCTTGATTCTCTGGAGAATCCTTCTTTGCATTATCTCCTCCAGCGGTTCCGAAACTGACGAAACTCTGGCTGAGTCCTTGAAAGGGCTTGGAGTTCCTCCATCTTGTTGGCCAGTGATCTCACATTGCCCATTATGATCGATGGAAGAGATGGTTTGAAATTCCTCTTTCTCCGTTTTGCTCCCGCTCTGCACCCACGCTTCTTGCGTTTTAGCTCATTTGGGATTTGTAGCTCCAGTTGAGGTATTATTTCAGCCTTTCCAATGTTAATCAGCTGCTCCCGATTGTAAACCAGCTTGTTGCCATGGTTACGCATCATAACAAATGCTCAAAAAGTGAAGACAGCTTAAAAAAAAAGCAGTAAAAATCCTCCAAGCTTCACAGCACCAGAAACAGAAAAGTAAAATGTCCAAAAAAATACAGTTTTTCTTGAGAAACTAGAAGAAAAAATGTCCAAGAAAAGGCAAAACTTACATATAGTCAACAGAGCTACTCCAACATGCAGCCACCCAGAGCAGCGCAGTTCCGGAAAACCTTAACGGTGTTTAATCAGAAGATTCTAGGATTCTTTGCTTTATTCAGGTATCCCGCACTTTGTCTTAATTCAAGAAAGAGGTTTGCAAAATAATTTATTCTCAAACAATCAAAACATGACAAGTTACTAATGTTTACTGTGATGGATGGCTCTAGAAATAGAATGTGCTGTATGGTGACTATATGTGAATGTTCTGTAATCAGATCCTTGCATCTAGGAGACTTAAGTTCTGGGTGTAAAAGGGAAAGAATTTGGTTTGCGTTAATCTATGAAGTTGATTATTATCAATAAGGCATCAGACGCTATCTGTGGTCTACATACCCAAACGGAGACCCCCCTTGGTGGATCCAGAAGGCCGGGGTGTCGGGTGACCCCCGGGTACCGAGGCCCGTAGAAGAAACTGCGGCACCACTCGACCGGTCTCAGAGTTGTCTCCCAGGTCACACAGACAGATGAAGCCTTGCGTCTGGGACTCATTAATGAGTTGGACAATATCAGTGTTGTTCTGCAGGAATTGTTTTCTGCAGCTTTAGCAGGTTTTGACAGCTTGTCAAACTTGCTCGAGGTTAACGAGATTTCGCTACGGACGGCCATTCCGTTCACGTTTTCTAGAGCTGAATGCTGAGTGATGAGAAGCTGGAATGCGAACTCAACTTGACTGGACTGGACTGTCAAATCCTCTAAGTGATTCTGTTTTAATATTGTCATGTTATGATTTGTTGGCCAATCGGAACGTGCCATGTTAATGGATGTTACCAAGCCCCCACAATGCGGCTCAAAAATTGAAGCAATCCTGGAAGTACCAAAAATTGCAGTTCCACTCTCATCCACTAGGGGCTGGTGTCAGAAGCGAGCAAATCCTCATTGACTCCCATGTTAAAAATACCAATTTCACAGCAGAAATAAACATGTTTACAGCCTGGTACCAAAACATGTTTTTGGTTTAAATGATCTAGTTTACTCTCATGACAACTCTGAGGGGGGTGAATTTTTTTCTCACTCTTCTGTTTAAGTGTATTAAAAGCCTAAAATTCGGAATAATTAATGAGCATCAGACCCACGTGACCACAGAGCTAGCTCCGTGGAAAGGCCTCAGTAGAGCCTTGGTCTGGCTTGGGAACTGTTCCAGGATTTTGAGTCTCTGTGTTTGTGTATTCTTTTCTGGATATTATTTGTGCAATTGTTGGACAAAATGACTTGCTGTGGCATTAATTGCACTAATAGAGCGTCTCCATTTTTTTCTGTAAGTAAAATTATATTTATGTATTTTAGGTCACTGCCGCTGAGCTTAGATGTTAACATGTACTGTTTAACCATGAAATTTAAATGTAATAGGGTAAAATCCAGTGCATTTAACATAATGCTGCACTTTAGAAAATGGGTTGAAATATAACATGTTGGTGGAGCTGGGTTCCCACTATCGGCTTGTGGAGCTCTCGGGAGACCGATGTTTTCCACCCGGTTCTCCCCTTCCCACAGCTCGGTGCATCTCTGTCTGAACGCGGCTTCTGTCTGCTGTGCAGGCTGACGGCTTGTGGAGCTCTGGGATGGAAACCTTTCCACCCGGTTCTCCCCAGCGGCAGCTCTGTGCATCTCAGATCGCAGCGGCGCTTGTCTGCTGCGCGGGCTGCCGGCTTGTGGAGCTCTCGGAGACCTCTGTGTTCCACCCGGTTTTACCCAGCGGTCAGCCCGGCGTATCTCTGACTCAGAAGCTCTGGTGTTGTGCACAGTTAACTCCGGTTGTAGCTAGGTTGCTACCTCCGTTAGCTTAGCTCCCACCTCCGCGTTAGCTTTGGGTTAGCTTCAGGTTAGCTTGTAGCTAGTTCGACCGGGTGTCGTCAGTTGATCCCAGCCTTACAGCCTCACCCTCAGCTCCTCCTCTCTTCCCTTTTGTGGAATTGTCTGGGCTTGACGGAACCTGTGACACGGTCAAAATGGCGGTGGTGGCCACCTCCCATTTGGCCTCAAAAACGTGTTATTGGAGTCTATGGAAACCCACTGTCCAATATTTATATGTCGATGGATGTTACCAAGAAATCCTCAGAACACACGCCATCTGAGATACAGGATGCTCCGATCTGTTAATTTGTTGTCTGGGTGTATGAACTGTCAAGATAGTGGTTAACTTTAAACCAACCATTAATATCATAATATCAAAATGTTTCATTTCAAATGATAACGTTCAATTCAACTTCAGATCAATGAAAGCATTTCACTATTTATAATTATTATAATTGGCAATAAACTAACGTTTGTTTAATGATTATCTAACCAATAAGTTTTAAAGTTCATATTTAATTTAAGAAATCATTCTTTCTTCTTTCTGTAAAGCAAGTAAGTAAGTCAAAGTAAGTAAAACTTTATTTATATAGCACTTTTCACAGATAAAATCACAAAGTGCTTCACAACATACCTAAAAAGGCAAAACAGGACAGGAGCACAAGGTCAACTTACATAAAAGCTTGTCTAAATAAAAGTGTCTTCAGCTGCTTTTTAAAAGAATCAGAGTCGGCTACATGAAGAAACAAGGGCAGGGCGTTCCAAAGTCTGGGAGCTACAGCTTGAAAGGACAGGTCCCCTCTAGTTTTATATCTGGTCTCAGGGACCTTCAGTAGGTTCTGACCCGAGGACCGTAGCGTGCGGCCAGAAGAGTGAGGAATTAAAAGGTCTGATAAATATTGTGGAGCTTGTCCATTAAGAGCTCTAAAAGTCAAAACTAAAACTTTAAAATCAATTCTAAACTTGACCGGTAGCCAATGTAAAGAAGATAAGTCTCCTTAGATAAAAGGGTGCTCTGCGAGGGACCTTGAACGGAACGTGGTGTTGATGATCCTGACAATCTGAGTGTAAACACTCCGCGCCCAATCTTGTGCTGCACTTGGGAAGATTAACAGACACACAGAGGCAGCTGACTGATGCCATATAGGTCAAGCTGTACCTGAAAACTGACCAGTTCTGGACGTTACACTCTGAACAGCTGAAGGGGACCGGCGTTCGACACCTCGGGTCTAAAGTCTTTATTGGCCCTCGTGGGACAGACGGCAGCAGGGTCATTCCCGTGCTGTCTGTCAAACCGTAGGAACAGCTGATAAGACGTGTCATGAAGGGTTAGGATTTGATGTTGACGTTGGATGTGCTACTGCTAGTTTATCCGTTTAATTATAGATCCACTAGGATGAATAAAATAAAGTTTATCTCTCACCAAATAGAATATTTACTAAGATAGCACAATATAACTATAGACACATTACTTTGCCTTTGTGTGTGTGTGTGTGTGTGTGCGTGCGTGCGCGCGCCTGCTGTCTTCTCGATCTCCAGTGAGTCATGGTGGATGGCTGCTTATACTGAGCCAGGATCCTCTGGAAGTTTCTTCCTGTTAAAAGGGAGTTTTCCTCTCCACTGTCGCTGCATGCTTGCTTAGTATGAGGATTGCTGTAAAGTCATTGACACTAGTCAGTGACTTGATGCAATTTGCTGGGTTCCTTATATAGGAAACATTTTTTCTGATTGGCTTAATGAACTGACCTGAATTGGAATGTTTATTATGTGAAGTGCCTTGAGACGACTCTTGTCGTGATTTGGCGCTTTATAAATAAAATAGAATTGAATTAGGTTTTAGCTAACTTCAGCTGCAATGTGAGATTCTGTCTTGGAAAAAAAAGAACGCTACGATCATCCAGGAAGTCGATGATTTGATTCCCCAGCGGTTGTCTAACCATCACTGAACCCCCCTGCATGAACAAATCAGCTGTTTCATATAAATACATTTTAATCTTACTATTTTTCTGACTTTTCTCTAAGTGCCTGTGCTGCTGCAGCAAGGGAATTTCCACACTGTGGGATAAATAAAACCTGTTCTATTAGGTGCTCAGTGGCCTAGTGGTACGAGTGTCAGCCCTGGGACTGGGAGATCAGGGTTCAAACCAGGGATGTGTATTTTTGAAATTCTGGCGATACGATACATATCACAATACAGGGGAGACGATACGATATATCACGATGTATTGCGATACATTCAGTCAGACGTTACAAGCAATTTTTTTTACTGAATTTATTGTAAGAATGTTCAATAAACAGTCCAAACTGTTACGTAACATGTTTAACATGAGGTATCTGAACCATGATGGAGGGATTTACATTTCAATGGTGGAAACAAAACCTGTTGCACACTGCTGCCAACTAGCGGGTGGCGATTGAATTGCACAAAACGAAAAGAAAATACACAAATGTTTGCATGTAACTTCTTTCAAGAATTAGATACACGGCTTTTGAATATTGATGTAATAATCACTGGAAAAAATATCACGATATAATGCCATATCGATATTTCCAATACACTGCTTTTGAATATCGATATAATATTGCTGGAAAAAATATCACGATATATTGCCTTATCGATATTTTCTTACATCCCTAGTTCAAACCCCGGACAGGTCATACCAAAGACTCTGAGAACATGAGACCTAACGCCTCACTGCTTGAAACTTAGCTTTAAGGGTTGGATTGGGGGTTAAACCACCACATAGCTCCTGAGCACCTCCACAGCTGCAGCTCCCCACGGGGATGAGTCACATGGAGAGAACACATTTTGTACAAACATCACTGTGTGTGACACCTAATGAACTTTAACTTCTAATCTATTAATAAAATCAATATGGTTTTTAAAATGAGTTTGAACCTTTGTTCATCGAGACTTTAGAGGAAGTAAGTATATTTTATTTCTACAGCTCTCGTCACAGATGCATCACAACGAGCTTTTCATAGATCAAAACAAATCATAATGATCTTAAAACAGAAGTAAATTAAAATCAGAACAACAAAGTCGTAAAATTATAAAACACCATAAAACAAATGAAAGATGATTAGAAACTTAAGAAAATAAAAGGTTTAGGTAAAAGCAGCTTGTCGGGGTGCAACAGTCTGGAAGAAACGATCACCTCGACTTTTATATCTGGTCTTTGGAACTTCTAGAAGGTTCTGGTGTGTGGACCTGAGGGCTCAGGTTGGGGCATAAGGCTTGTAGCGTCACAAAGGGCCTCTAATTTGTGACAAAGGCCACTCCTTCAGAGTTATGGTAAATGGTAAATGGCCTGTATTTGATATAGCGCCTTCTAGAGTCCTGGAACCCCCCAAGGCGCTTTACAACACAATCAGTCATTCACCCATTCACACACACACATTCACACCCTGGTGGGGATGAGCTACAATGTAGCCACAGCTGCCCTGGGGCGCACTGACAGAGGCGAGGCTACCGAGCACTGGCGCCACCGGTCCCTCCGACCACCACCAGCAGGCAATGTGGGTTAAGTGTCTTGCCCAAGGACACAACGACAGCGACAAACTGAGCGGGGCTTGAACCTGCAACCTTCGGATTATGGGGCGAGCACTTAACTCCTGTGCCACCGTCGCCCACGGAGTTAAGCCAGACGCTCGACACCGTGTACCCTGCGACGTCTCTGGACCAGAGGATCGGCTCTACTCGCGTCTTCTCTACCGGACCGAGTACCCTGAGGCTGACAACATCCTCCTTGACCTCCGGATCCACACAGAGGGTCGTCGTGCTGGGTGAGGTAGCACACAGATTGTGTTTGATGCTGTTCTCTAAGTAACAAACGAGTTAGCTGCAAAACAAGCATTCACCCTGAACGAGTTCCTCTCTCTGACAGAAACCTTCTGAGAATTCATTCACGTATCCAAGCTCTCATTTCCTTTTAGCTTTCCATCCAGACACAGGTAAAGCGTTTGATACCAAGTTTAATGTCATCCATGAATTGTCATTTTTAATCGTCAAGTTTAAAATTGTTAGTAATAAATTCTTAACTTTAAAAACTTGACTCTCTTCTTGAAATTAAACACAGAATGGTGTGTATTTCTGGTTATTGAAAAAGCAAAGATTCCTAACTTCTGATTCAAAAATAAACTTTTTCTATTAAATTTAATTATCTTAAATTAAATATTAATCTTTGGATTAAATATAGACCAAGCAGGTTGGTGTATGAACTTATATCGATGATATAAATATCTGGGATATTTATACATGATATAAGCTTCATATGCTAATTTGCTTGATCATCCTCAGAATCTAACAACTGATAGCAAACAGTGTTATTCTAGTATGTAGTAATACGCTACAGGCTTTAACAGTTCAGTAATGTAAGGAGGAGCTTGACCATGTAGAGCCCTGAAAGTTCTAGTCAGGACTCTAACATTAACTCTAAAGTTAACGGGTAACCAGTGCAGAGTTGTCAGAATAGGAGTGATATGTGCTCTTCTGTTTACTCCAGTTAAAACACGTGAAGAGTGTGTTACAATAATCTAGACGGGAGGAGATAAAGGCATGGAGAACCATTTCAAGTTCATGTTTTGATACCAACATTTTTCCATGATGGCTTTACATCATGAGCTCACCTGTGAGGAGGAATTGACCAATCAGAGAGCTGCAGACGGAAGCTTTATAAACTCACTGAAGCAAAGACGCTTCAGTTCTTTTTCCTCATCACCAACAACAAAGTTTACAGTAAGTTCTTACAGGTTTTGTGTCTTTGGCTCTGACTTTTAACTAAAATGACTTTATTACCTTTGAAAACGTCTGATACGAGTTTTTATTTATTCTGTTTCAACTATAATTTTCACTGCAACCAACCCGGATTTCTCAGAGTGGCCTTGTTTCAACACGCTCGTCGTTTTTAACGTTGCCTGTCACAGACACAAGTTTTCCTGTTTAACAACACTTCCTAAAAGGATTGACCTGAATACAGTGGTGTTTATATTTTGTACTTGATGCACTGAAACATGACCAGATTTTCTTTTCTCCAGGTGACTTCGACTCACCTGATGTGCTTGTTATTGTGTAGTTAAAAATAGCAGGCCCCTCCCCCTGTCCTGCTACTTCCTCCTGACGTTTTAACAGTTTTATTTATTGTTCTTGCAGATCCTGAAGCATAAGGCAGATAAATAAAGCAGATTCAGAGCTGCATTATGACACTTTTTCATTTTTAAATACCGTTGAAATATGTAAAAAAAAAAAAAAGAAAAGATACCAATATTGAAATAGTTCCGTGAACCTGAAGCAACAAACGATGAGTTGAAGAAATTCCTGCTTATGTTTCTGTAGCAGCCATCGCTCAGCGAGCTCATCCGTAGGTTTCATAACCCTCTCAGACTCAAATTACAGTAAGTTTTGATAAAAGGACGAACAACTAAGTCCTCCAGGGGTTCTTCTGAGTTAAGAAATGCTCATGAATACGTATGCGGAGTAACCAGGTAGGTAGGTTTTAACCTGCCTGCCTCCAGTGGGTTAAAAGGTGATCTCTGTCGTGTTTCCTTCTCGTTTTACCCGTGAGAATCCGCCTCGATGCTGCCTGCAGTCCTGTTGACGGTGTTCCTGAGTGGAGTCCTGTCAGCTCCCAGCAGGGACCTAGAACTGGACCAGCACTGGGATCGGTGGAAGGCCTGGCACAAAAAGAACTACAATGAGGTGATCTACTGGGTTTCATTCTTTCTGAAGTTGAAAAGACACGAGTCACATCGCAGTACTGAGACTGCTTTGGTAAAGGTTTTTAATGACATCTTTCTGGCTACGGATTCTGGTGGATCTGCGTTCTTGCTGCTGTTGGACCTAACTGCCACTCTATTTTACTGGCAAGTTTGGAAGAATATGTTGGTCTAAGGGGAATTGCCCTGACTTGGCTTTGATCACACTTGTCTGATAGGACCATGTCTGTTAGTATTGGTGATGTCTGCTCCAAGGAGGCTTCCTTCAAATGTGGTGTGCCCCAGGGCTCTATACTTGGGCCACTATTTTTCTCCTTGTATCTGATTCCATTAGGTGCCATTTTAGGAAATATGGTCTGCCCTTTCATTTTTACATGGATGACTGTCAGATTTATGCACCAGTAAAAAGGGTGGCGGACATCCTATGTATGAGGAGGTCAAAAGGTGGATGGCTGCAAACTTTTTCAGCATAAATGAGAGCAAAATGGAATTAATCTACTTTAAACCTAGTGGGGCATCGACCATCTCCCCTTCTCCTTTGGACCTGTTGACACCCGTTCCTATGAAGGACATCCCCGACTTAGGGGTGAAGGTTGACGTGGAGCTGAAGTTCGATAAGCAGATCAACTGTGTGGTGAAGTCCTGCTTCTTCCAACTAGGAAAGCTGCCTCAAGTCAAGTTGGTTCTGGTGAGAAGTGATCTGGAAAGACTCATTCATGCATTTATCACCTCAAGGCTTGACTACTGTAATAGTCTTTATGTTGGGGTGAGTCAGGGTTGTCTCAATAGACCAGTTAGTCCAAAACGCTGCGGCTCGTTTGCTAACGGGCACTCGCAGAGCATGTCACCCCGGTGTTGGCTTCTCGGCACTGGATCCCAGTTGCACTGATGTTGGCGTATAAATCGTTGAATGGACTGGCTCCTTCCTATCTAGCGGACATGCTGGTGCCGTATGAGCCAACTCGCCAGTTTAGGTCGGCTGACCAGCAGCAGTTGGTGGCTCCAAGAACGAGGCTGAAGCTGAGAGGAGATAGGTCCTTTTCCGCTGCCACGCCTGGTCTTTGGAACCAGCTTCCAGGCAGTATTAGACATGCATCTTGTCTGGTGGATTTAAGTCCCTCCTCAAGACTCACTATTATTCACTGGCTTTTAACCCTGACTGATAATGCTTATCCACTCCTGTCTTTAAAGAGCAAGTCACCCCCTACCAGAGTATTACTCCACTCCCACTTCCTGTTTGAAAAATGCAACAAATGCTGTTGCAGACCGAGAGGGCGGAGCCGCTAACAAATACACACACACACACAGGCTCACAACGACATCGTGACATCATATGGTACCAGCTAACGTTCTAGAGTACCTCTTAGCCAATAGCGATGGCAGATTTAAATTCAAATGCAGTGCAGAGTTTTTACCTGACAACGGCACAACACTGACAGTTTCAGGCAGAAAATTTAAAATTTTACTTAAATGCTTTAAAGTGCAAAACTATTGACGACACGTGTCTGCAGCACGATTAGACACACATTTATATAATTAATCAGAAAAAAAGAGTTGATTTGGGGTGACTTGCTCTTTAAGCAGTGTTGTGTTTTATTTATTTTACAATGTTTTTGTATGTTTTAATATATGATCCATGTTTTTACTGTTTTTAATTATGTTGGTATGTTTTTCTGGAACTAAAGACCGACAGCTGCTAATAAACTGTAAACTCACATTGTCATGTGCAGAATGAGGAGGGCTGGAGGAGGATGGTGTGGGAGAAGAACCTGCAGAGGATCGAGATGCACAACCTGGAGCAGTCCATGGGCAAACACACCTACCGACTGGGCATGAACCAGTTTGGAGACATGGTGAGATCACACGTTCACCTGTTTCTCAGCTGGTGTCAGAGGTTTAACAGAGGTGATGAAAGGATGCAGATTAAAGATTAAAGGTGTGATAGAAAAGCCCGGCCTGCTCACAGGCAGAGAGGCACATGAGGGGCGGGACTAGCCAGCTCAAAAATGACCAATCAGAAAAAAGGTGGAGATGCTGTCGTTTTTTTAGCTGTAGTCAAAAATGGCGTCTGGCGACGACGCAAACACCTTTTTTTTTAGCTTGTTTTAGCTTCTTCTTGTTGTGGTTTTAACGACACGTCCAAGTCATTTAGACTACAGGAAAGAGCCTCGGCGAACTCCGCTTCACACGCCATGTTTATGAGAAACTGAGCGTTGCGGTGTGTGTGTGTGTGATGTACGCTGCTTGGCTCGGTTAGGGGGTGGGGTTATTTGAATAGAAGCGTTTTCAGCCTCCTTGTGGCCCTAAATACCTGAGGATTTGCAGCTCAACCAGAAGAACATGAACTCACTGACGTCTCCTCCCTCAGACTAACGAGGAGTTCAGGCAGATAATGACCAGCTTCAAGCCCACGGAAGACGGAAAGACTCAAGGATCCCTGTTCATGAAGCACAACTTCCTGGAGGCCCCTTCCAGTGTGGACTGGAGGCCCCTGGGCTACGTTACAGGCGTTAAAAACCAGGTAAGTCAAGCTTCCTGACACTGTTAATAAACAGTTACTGAAGAGGGAATGTCTGAATTAACAGTATTATAGGAGACAACCACCATCATGACTCACTGCATGTTACCACACATCTGGGGTTTTCACCAACCCCTCCATGTTCTACCTTTCTCCATCATCCGTCAGGGTCCCTGCGGTTCCTGTTGGGCTTTCAGTGCCACCGGAGCTCTGGAGGGGCAGCTGTTCCGGATGGCTGGGAAGCTGGTGTTGCTGAGTGAGCAGAACCTGGTGGATTGTTCCATACCTGAGGGCAACCATGGCTGCGGTGGTGGCTGGATGAACAGCGCATTCCAGTATGTTGTAGACCAAGGTGGTCTGGACACTGAGGCCTGCTACCCGTACCGGGGGAGAGTACGTATCTCAGAACTCAAGAAAACCCAGAGAGCCTTAAATGGTCTCCGGTAATGTTAAAGATGTAGCCGTCGTGGTTTGCTGCACTTGTTTAGACATGTGACCCGCCTGGATGCTGCATGTGTTTGGATCACAGCGATCCTGATCCTCTCACACATATTCAAACATGCTTGATATTTAAGCCTTTTCTGTGTCTTAGCCTCATGTTCGCTTCCTTCTCTCCACCATTCAGAACCAAGCGTGTGGATATAACCCATCATGCAGCGCCGTCAATGTCACCGGATATGTTAATGTTCCCGAAGGCAGTGAAGCGGCTCTGATGGACGCCGTGGCGTCTGTGGGACCGGTCTCAGTGGCTATCGATGCCAGCAAATATTCTTTCCAGTTCTACAGCTCTGGTCAGTTCTCCTTTATATTGGCCTTCGAGTTTTCCAACGGGACAATCCTTGTGCAACAGTGGGATGACCCACAGGGTGTTACGTCTGAAGCGTACGGCGTCCTCTGAGACTTGTGTTTGACTCTGACACGAGTGTTTGTGTTCAGGTGTTTACTACGAGCCAAGCTGCAGCCCAACACCCGACCACGGAGTGTTGGTGGTGGGCTACGGATCTACCTCAGCATCTGAGAACTACTGGCTCGTCAAGAACAGGTCCGTAAAAATCCTTTAGCTTTTTGGGATTTGGTGCGACTTTCTTTTCCTTTGTACTTGTTTTCAAACATTTAAAGGTTGAGATACTAAAAGTGTACATTTTTATTTAAGAACATCGTATTGAAGAGCTCAGCGGTGTTTAGGTATGGCGCTGTATGGGGGCCAAAATTAAGACTACTGCCCAGCAGCAGGAGGCTATATAAAGTCTGAAGCAAACTACTGATCTGATTAATGATAAGCTGGCACCGGTAACTGAGAGGCTGGCGCTGCTTACTGAGGAATAGCACCTTTACCAGCGTTATTACTTAATATGCTAGGGACTAGCAGCCCTCGGCTGGTCATTGACTGGTTCAAACACTCCCTCTGCTGTCTATTAGCATGGATAGGCTAGCGTTAGCCTGGACGGGCTGGTGTTAGCATTGGAGAGGCTAGCAATTAGAATGTCTGCCAACTAGCTGAATTCCCTACCTCCTCGACAGACCATTAGCATGGATAGGCTGGTGTTAGCATCGGAGAGGCTAGCCATTAGTGTGCCTAGGCATGCCACTAGCTGGATTTCCTACCCCCTCGACAAACCTTAAGCATGGATAGGCTGGCATTAGCATCGGAGAGGCTAGCCATTAGCATGTCTTAGAGAGTCACTTGCTCTACTAGATGCTTTTTTTAAACTTTTATTAAACGGATGACATAATATGAGACCTGCAATCACTGTTGTTCCTTTGACAGAAAGCGTTGTTGTACACATTAACTTTAAGCATATTGTAAAGCCGACAGCCTGTTAGCATTGATTAGGTGCTGCGTTAACTCGATTTTGCTCTTAATTACAGGTAGATGGCGTTTTCTTTTTATATAGTTTCTTGCACATTTCAGAGAAAAAGCCAGAGCTAACTAGTTTGTACTTTTCATCTTTGGATTTTAAATCCTTTGTATTGAATTACAGGTTAATAATTATTTAAATTGTGATGTTATCTTTATTAAAACTATATAATATGTACAAAAAAACCCCACATCTAATAGAGTAAGTGACTCTCCGAGACAAACTAATGGCTAGCCTTTCCGAAGCTAACGCCAGCCTATCCATGCTAAAGGTCCGTCAAGAGGGTAGGAAATCCAGCTAGTGGCCAGCCAAGGCACGCTAATGGCTAGCCTCTCTGATGCTAACACCAGCCCATCCAGGCTAACGCTAGCCTATCCATGCTAATAGACAGCAGAGGGAGTGTGTGAACCAGTCAATGACCAGCCGAGGGCTGCTAGTCCCTAGCGTATCTAGTAGTAACGCCGGTAAAGGTGCTATTCCTCAGTAATCAGCGCCAGCCTCTCAGTTACCGGCGCCAGCTTATCATTAATCAGGTCGGTAGTTTGCTTCGGAACTTATATAGCCTCCTGCCGCTGGGCAGTAGTCTTAATTTTGGCCCCCATACCACGCCATATTTAGGGGGCTTCTAACCCTAACCCTAGTCTGAACAGATTCTTGTTAATGAAGCTTCTTTACATCACTGTCAGTTTTATTGGTTTGATTTCCAGACAAACTGTAAAGTCTAATTAAATAAGATGTTTTTTTATTTCTAACACAAAACGATGTTTAACTAATTAGCTTTGGACTCCTGCAGCTGGGGTACTGGCTGGGGCGACCAGGGCTACATCCTCATGTCTAAAGACAAAAACAACAACTGTGCCATCGCCTCATACGCCAGTTATCCTCTGGTGGGATGAGTGCAGCATCACCTCGAGGCTCCGTGACTCGTGGCATTTTAACCGAAGAGACGGACGAAAGTCCCAAAGTTAAATATTTGCACTAGCAGGAGAATCTGATGACGCCTCGTTGTCTCATGAAGAATTTTGTTTTAATAAATATAAATACATTTTCTTTCTTCTGATTAAAACTTGTTTCTACTGCTGCTGTCATCTAATAAAAACTGTGAAACAACTTTTGTGTGCTTCGTTTTCAGTCCCATGAATGTGATCACACCTCCGCATCAGAGTTAGGTCACGGTTTATTCGTTTTAATGCAACGAACAAATCTCTAAATGTGACCTCTGACCCTGTTCTATTATAAATAGTAGGTCACCTTTCATCGTTTCCCAAGCCCCGCCCCCGGCCTCTGCAGTAAAACGAATCATTTATGTGAACCTAGAGCGCTGACCAATAGGGTTGCAGAGTACCATGCATAACTTTATTTGTATAGCACTTTAAAAACAACATGTTTACAGCACAAACAGGAAACACATCATGAACACAGCAGTGTCAGAGGCACGCTGGGTGTTTCTCAGTGTCAAGGCGCCTTGCTTACGAGGACACGGTCCTTCCTTGGTCAAAGAAGACGGTTAAATGGAACAGACTTGCATCACCTGACCGCGGCTTCCACGGCGGTAACGTCACGTGACACGGGAGATGACGTTATATTTTACACGTATTAGTTTCATATAACGAGTCTTTTACTTTTTAAATAGTGTTTATGCTTATTAAATTAAATATATAAGTGAGTTACTAAGGCTGCGCAGTGGTGCAGTGGTTAGAGCTGTTGCCTTGTAGCAAGAAGGTCCTGGGTTCAATTCCCCACCTGGTATCTTTCTGCATGGAGTTTGCATGTTCTCCCCGTGCATGCGTGGGTTCTCTCCGGGTATTCTGGCTTCCTCCCACAGTCCAAAAGCATGAATGTTAGGCTGATCGGTCTGTCCAAATTGTCCTTAGGTGTGCGTGTGTGTGTGCATGATTGTTTTTCCTGTGTGTCTCTGTGTTGCCCTGCGATGGACTGGCCCTCTGTCCAGGGTGTACCCCGCCTGATTGCCCATTGACCGCTGGAGATAGGCACCCTCTCCTCATTGGTCAGTCCACACGAGGTGGGTCAAAGGTTACCCTGAGCGGGTTACGTGATGTCAGGCATTCAAGTATTGAGTACATTTACTGCATATTACAGTAAAATATTCTGTATGTGACCACATTATGGTGATCTTTGGGTCGTGATGATGGGGCCCTTTAATATTGTTGCCCAGGGCACAACAAAGTGTTAATCTGGCCCTGCTCATGGGTAAATTATTTATAAATTTGCTTCTTTCTTTTTTTTTATACCATAATTAACATGTTTGATTGGTCTTCTTGATGGTTTTTTTGTTAAAATTATTTCCCAGGATTCCACTTGGGTGTTTCGCCTAACTTCTCCTGACACGCTGGCTCAACGACACAAAAGTGTTCTGTTTTCAGGAGGTTAAACCGGTCTGAAGAGGTTAACTCCGACCCCATCGGGAGGAACGTGAATCCTGTTTGTCTAGTGTTTCAGAGCTGCAGCAATGGAGGACATGCTGGAGACGCTGCTCATTAGGATCAGGACTGTAAGGGTTAGGGGTTCTAAAAATCACGACAGATCGTCAGAGTCGATCATTCTAAAATGTTCTGAGTTCTTTTGAAGTGTAATGGAATGAAATGACTGTTCTTTTCCCTCCTCTGCACAAGACTAGTCTGCATGAGAGATGGTCTCAAGGTCTCATGCATTCCTTCTAACCTGCTTATTTTCAGCTCAACAGAAGAATGAAGAATGAACTCTTTTCTTTTAATTAATCAAAGAACTCTATTTAAAAAAGCTAATCCATCAAAGTGTTAGTCAATAAATGAGCTGTGACTGACCTGTGAAATCAAAATATTAATTACTTTATTATGATCCTATAGAATATAATAAGTAATATGACTTTAAATGTTCCAACAGGACTCATTTCACGTAGCGTTAAAAAGACATGACACATTACTTTCACTGATCCAATCAGAATCTTACAGATCTGACGGAGGCGTGCTTCTGATGGTGTTTGGTAATTTTTCATTCAACCATAAACCATAACATCCGAAGTATAAAACTATGGCACGTCATCTCTAACGCCAGTTCAAAGCGTTCCAGAGAAAGTGACGGAGTGGCCGATCCTGATCTAAACTCTTTAACCGGAAGAACCAACGAAAAATTTGTCGCTATTCCAACAGCGACAACAGTTCCTTTCAGAATAAAAGCTGAACCATCCAGACCCAGGCTTGGGTCTCACCAGACGCCAACAAACTGCCGCGACCCGGAAGTAACTCAGACTGGACTGGTCGACAAACCGCTGCTTTTCCTACCAGCTCGGTTCCAGAGAGGGTCAAGCTAGACCTCGACATTCCAGATCTAAAGGGGACTTCCTGAAGGGTAGGTAGACCGGCAAATGGCGTCTCATGCATGAAGATTTTTCCAGATAAACAGGTTGTGAATGTGAAAGTGGAGAAGCTGCTGAGTTCAGGTTGGACGGCTTCTCCTTCAGACGGTGAATCCGCTGCTGTCAGGATGAAGGATGAGCAGACGGAACTAGGATCATGGCTTAGGGCCGAGTGGGCAGAGCTGGCTCCGTCTCTTCAGGTCTTTAAGTCTTGCTTGAAAACCTACTTTACCTGTTAGCGTTCCCCCAACACGACCTTTGACCCTGGCTCATGGTTTTATTGGTTCTATTTGCTTTTAATGCTCCTTCTTCTGTTTGTCTATTTATTGTTTTTATGTTATTTTTACCCTCCTCATGTGTTTACATCATGTTCAGCACCTTTTGCTTCCGTTTAGCCGGTGGGAAGGTGCTTTACAACAGCTTCACTGATTGGATAAAAACCTGATGACAGTTTTTCTGATTGGCTAAAACATTAAACTGTTTTTTGAATCAAACAGTTTTGGCCAGACCTCTAACACTGCTGTCATGTTTCACACACAGTAGCAGGGTGAACTCCTGACCCCCCCGCACCACCGCCACCTAAGCATCAGTACCGATGACGTCCTCCGACGCAGCAGACCCAGCGTGAAACCAGATCCAGAGCGAACTCTGTAAGCGCCAAAAAGGCAGCCTACAGGTTTCCCCACGTTGCCTCTGCTGTGGATGACAGACCACGTGGAATGAATGATTGAATTACTGTATTGGTACATAGGTTCAGCACTTCATGTCCGTGATCAGGTGAATCATGTGTTATGTGTATGGTTAATGTTTGGTTTTGAACACAGTAAACCTGATTTTAAAGATTTTATTTTTTTTGACAGAAAAATTTGGAGTTTTGTGAATTTGGTCAAAATTTGTGTTTGAGAAAATGTGGCGAGCTTCCAAGAAACGTGTTTTAGCATTAATAAACAAGGGTTTAGGGTCAAAGGTCACCTGCAGCTCCTGTGAAGCAACCGTTGGTTTCAACGATGAAAAACGTTTGTTTTTCAGATAAAATACCTTCAGACTTTTGCTCTGTTCACAAACTCAACCTGATCTGTCACAAGCTGCCCCGAGGAGAAATGTTTTCGATTTACAGTCAGGAGTTTGCTGAGTCACAAGGGTGTGTGTGTGTGTGTGTGTGTGTGTGTGCACGCGGGAAACTTTGTGGAATTTTCTGGAACAAAAGAAAAGAAACGAGGAAACATTTTGACGCGTAAACTCGTAAAAACGTGCAGATGAAAACCAAACATGTCAGCAAATCAGTCGTTTCCGTTTGTGTTCAAACTGAACCTCCGTTGTTAGCCTAAATCAGATGTTCTCCCTGATTTTGCAGAAACAGAACTCAAACCCAGACCTTCCTGCGTTTGTTTACAGCTTCTCATAAGCGGCGGCCTTTCAGTCCGACTGGTTTTATAAAACTGAAGCACTCCAACCCCCTCCAGGCGTTTCTGTCCTGTTTGTGTCACAATCCAAACCCGTGATTCGAGTTTTTGCTGTGTCATAACTAATTGTTGTTTTCTGCAGCAGGAGATGCTGAAGTTTTGTTGTCACTGAAGTGATCGTGACTGGGGCTGCACAATATATCGTAAATATAATGTTATCGCGAAACCAGCATGAACAATATGCATGTCGCAAAGATCAGATAAATATCGCAATGAATGGTCAGCCTAAATGTTTGCTACACATGATGCGTTCTGTCAATCAAATGGAAGCATTACGTTTTTTTTTAACAAATCAAATAGAGCTCTTCACCCATTTGGCCAATCAGGTGGGTTCTCATAGGTTAAATGCCCGCCCCCGAGGCAGATGACACTTAATTTTGATGGTTAGCAAACACCTGAGTTAGCTTAGTTCTGCTCTTTTTGCTGATTCTGCTTTTCCCGGGATCCACTGATCGCTTTTTCTTGTTCTTTTTCTTTTTCCTCACATCTTTAGCTTTTCTCATTTTTATGATGTTTTTATTTCTTTGTTTTAGATTATTTTTGTTCCTGAGTTAAGTTTTTATTTATCGTAAGTAATGTCGTCATCGCAGTATTAATCACTGTTCCTAATATCGTGCAGCCCTAATCGTGACTGTTAAAGGGAGATGTTCAACCTCCTTTTACAGAAGCTTAATCTGATGCAACAGTCTGTTTAGTTACCATTTTCAGATGGGACAGTAGAAATGGGCATGAAGAAATAGAAATAAAGTTTAGACTGAGTTATAAACATGAATCCAGCTGGTGTTTTAGTGCCTGATCAGAGAAACTCTTTTACCTTACAACAAGAGAAAACGCAGCAGGATTTTACACGTTTTGTTCTACCTAAAGGTGACTAATCAGGCTTTGCAGCAATAAAAAACATTTATATCAACAAATACACACACACACAGGCTCACAGCGACATTGTGACATCATATGGTACCAGCTAACATTCTAGAGTACCTCTTAGCCAATAGTGATGGCAGATTTAAATTCAAATGCAGTGCAGAGTTTTTACCTGACAACGGCACAACACTGACAGTTTTAGGCAGAAAATAAAAATGTAACTAAAATGCACTAAAGTGCAAAACTACTGACGACACGTGTCTACAGCACGATTAGACACGCATTTATATAGTTTATCAGAAATTTTTTTTTATTTGGGGGTGACTTTGTCATGGTCTGCGTCTTCCCTCAAGTGTCTCCTTGTGTTCTCCATCCGTCTCTAGGTTCTCCTTTTGTGTCTCCTAGCGCCCTCTTGTGTCCTTGTCTAT